TAATCAAGGCACTCTATTCAAACTCACGTAGTCGTGTAAGGGCTTATGGGGAATTGTCATCTGAATTGGTAACAACCAGTGGTGTCCGACAGGGATGTCCACTTTCCCCATTTCTGTTTAACTTCATCATAGATATGCTGATGGAAGTATCCTTAACTGAACGTAACGACTTAGGAATCGACTTGTTACCAGGGAATAGTCTTATGGACTTAGAATATGCAGATGACATAGTCCTGTTAGGGGAGGATGCTGACAAAATGCAGAGTCTTCTGAACACCTTGAGCAGCAATCTTCGTATGTTTGGCATGCGATTCGCCCCTACAAAATGTAAGATGCTGCTACAGGACTGGACTACGTCAACTCCTACCTATAGTGATAGGGAGTGAAGTGATAGAACATGTTGACCACTTCACCTATTTGGGAAGTTGTATTAGCACCAACGGACTGATTGGCGATGAAATCTCAGCACGGATCCGAAAAGCTCGAGCTGCTTTCGCTGACTTACACCATCTCTGGCGTAGGCGTGACATCCGGTTATCAACCAAGGGACGTGTGTACTGCTCATCAGTTCGCTCCGTCCTTCTCTATGGCTCTGAAACATGGCCAATACGCGTTGAAGACATGAAAAGGTTGACTGCTTTCGATCATAGATGTCTGCGATCTCTGTCTCACGTTAGGTGGTTTCACAAGGTAAGTAATGTTGACGTTAGGCGTAGAGTGTTGGGCAAAGAGGGAAAATCAATCGACGAGGCTATAAAGTTACATAGACTGAGATGGCTAGGTCACGTGCTGCGCATGCCTAACCACCGCCTCCCCCGACGGGCATTGCTAGCTGATATAGGTGCAGGTTGGAAAAGAGCCAGTGGTGGCCAAACAAAAACATGGCATCAATCCATGAAATCCTTGACAGTTAAACTGAGTCAGGTAGGGAGATGCAGACTTCCGGGTTGGGGCCCTCGGGACTCTAGGAATCAATGGCTGGAGACAATAGGTGACATGGCTCAAAATCGTTGTCAATGGCCAGCGCAGATGTATTCAGTCTCTGTAATCTTTCATATTCCTTTCTACCATTACCCATTCTGTTTCACTCTTATACTTGTCAAACTCTATTGATTCTCTTCACTCATCTTCTTGTCTACCTCTGTGTGCTATTTGGAACGTGGCAACTCGAACTGGTGCACTTCGGTGCCAAGTTCTATGTTGAATCCAGACAGACAGACTACTAACAAGTAGTAGAGCTATTACTTAATACTGGATATAATTATCCTCACAACCCTTTTCCCCACTCCTTTGGGTTCCTGCTGCAATGTAGAGCTCCAAGTTTCGGTAGCGGAGTATATTTGGAGGAGAGATTTTAGTCTCACGTCTTTGCTGGTCTTACTACCGGCTGAGCAAGATTTAATGGTGGTGAGCCGGCAGAGAATCGAACCCGGACCACATATGTGGTCCTAGGGGTATTTATCATATGTAATCAGAGAAAAAACATGTCTGCTGTTCATATATGTAAACTAGAAAGTGTCGGAGAACATCATACTTTAAAAATTTACGTCCGTGGGACTTTAGTCAAAAGTTAAAAAAAGTCTTTGTATGATGTGAATTCCTTTTTCATCGTTAGTCTTAAGCATTTTATGTTATTTTGATTAGTCAATAGACATATGAAGCTTAAGAATTATCATTGTGATTATGAGTGGAATTTCTAGGACATATTATACCCTCCTTTTAGTTTTGAAAACAAACGCATGTAAGTGTCCATTCCAGCCTGATCATTCTATTGGAGAAGAAAAACTTCAAAGATTGTAGGGTCAATCCCTGACAGTTTCTTCAGTCCATATCACTGAGAAGTTGTATACGAGAACTAAACAACTACCCAGTCGCCTTCAGTTTTGAATTGCTCTCGAGCTGATGTCTGTCCACTCTGAAATAATACATAACACACTTTATAAATGACCATATACAGCCCCCATCCCTCATTGATAATAAAGGAATAATTCTGACAGCTGACCACAAGTGCCATATTAGGCAAGATCCTGAAAAGGATCATACTCCTAACCAGTAGCTATTCGAGTGATAAACCTTAAGAAAATTAAAGGAATTTTCCAAAAGCTGACTGATAGAATTCATTCTGCACCAAAGAAAGGACTAGATACGTCACACTAGTTATTAGTGTCCAATCAAAATATCCAATATAGTCCTACAGGAGGTCAGTCGCAAGCTCGAATAGCTCAATGGTAACGTCTCTGACTGCATCACTGGGTGACGCGGGTTCGAATCTCAGAAGAGACATGAGTTCCTTCAGGGTTGCAGATACGCCTTGCTGATGAGTGCCAACTAGCACGAAACCCAGGTCAAGCAAGGCTTCCTGCCGATTACCTCCAACTATCTAATATATTTTCCACTGTTTATTTTACACAGGAGGGATATAAAAATATAAGACAACAAGTTATCATTGTGAGTCATGTACAGTTCGGAAAAGAGTTTGTCTACTGTCACCTGAACTGAATTCAGTGAAATCGAAAAGTACATAATTAAAACCATCCCATGGTCTCTTTACTTACTAGTATATAGTATATCTCAAGGGATACTGGATGTAGAAACTACTTTCACAAACACTCAAAATATTCACAGGAGTTTCTACCGAATAAAGACACCTTTAGTTTATATTTTATGGCTTCTGTAACGCTTTCACTCTTCTTACAAGAAGAATAGAATTTAATGTATACAATATTACAGATGGTGTCATAGGGAAATAAATCCATTTTAACGGGTGAATATTTCCATCACCATATGAATAAATAATTTATGCCTATCAACTCAATACTACATAATAGGTTTCTAAATAACAATCTCCATCGAACAAAGCGTAGATTGGCAGTCAAACCTATACCTCAAATTTATCGACTTTGAAAAAGGCTTCGACAGCGTTGACCGAGAATTAATTTGAAAACTTCTTCAAAACTACAGCGTGCCTCAAGTCTTCATCAGCCTCATTCAATAGTTGGCTATATGAAAACTCCACAAGTCAAGTGTTAAATAACGGGAAACTCAGCGAGGTGTTCGAAGTGAATATAGGAGGGAGACAAGGCTGACTGCCTATTATCACCGATGATATTCTTAATTGTGAAGGACTGGATTATGCGTCAGACTGTGCTTTGGGAGTGAGAATACAGGAATACGTCAAACCGATCAGGAGACTGTATATTATCTGGATTTCGCAGATGATATATGTCTAATGTCACACAAACTCGAAGACTCTCAGACAAAAACCAACAAACTGTCTGAAGAGGTTGGCAGAGAAGAGAGGACTCCAGGTGAACATTGAGAACACAGCGGTGATGAAGATAACCAAACAACAGCAACCCCCATTAACGGGAAAAGTGTCAATCAGGTCACTTATCTGGGAAGCACGATTTCAACCACAGGCGGTGGAACGAATGAAGATGTCAAAGCCAGATAGTTAATGAGGATCGGAAAGCCAAGATAACCCTTTCACCAACCTGAAACCAGTTTGAAAATCTTCACAGACAAAAAAGTTTCCATTTTGTTTAACACCAATGTTAAGTCAGTTCTTCTATATAGGTCAGAAACTTGGCGGCCGTGTCACCGAAAGTATTTCCGAAGGGCCACTGTAGAATTTCATCAGCGGCTGCATTGGCTAGTTCCGAAGTGAAGGTCAGTTGGCCAGAAGGAAGTAGCAACAAGAAACTCTCGGAACAAACCAACCAAGAACCTATTGCCCAACAAATATGAAGAAGGAAGTGGACGTAGGTCGAACATAAAGTAAAGAGACCATTGAGTGACACTGCATACCACTGACCGAATGGAACCCTAATAACAGACGACAAGTTGGGCATCTGAGGGTGACATGTAGGAGATAGTATGAGAGGGAGCGAACAGACTATGGACAGTTGAAGAGGATTGCAGAGAATAGGACAAAGTGGATATCCACTGTTGAAGCCATATGTTCTACTCAGAACCCGAGGGAAAAATAAGGTGAATAGCAGCCTGTTAAAAAGACTAAATAAGATAATGAACACCGGTAACTGAATTTAAATCATAAAGTATATAATAGTTACGTTTGAATTTGAGGGCTCATCTAGTAAAACAATACATCCATTGCTAGAATCATATTATAAGATAAAAACAGTTGTTATTCCCTTACAAGGTACGAAAATCGACCCTATTCCCAACAATGTTTTGACAGAACAAGGAAGGAAGAATCAACATTGCTAGACATACGTTTCGTCCTTATTGACGCTCATCAGCAAAGTGCACATACAAACAGAAAGAAGCTAATACTACTTAGGGAACTCAAACGCTAGTCATTCAGAGATCTAGTGGAAGATCTTTCGGATAAGCTATTCCACTCAATAAATAACCATTACATTACAGTATATTACAGTACGGTATAATCATCCAAGCATACACACAAACAACAGATGAGTGTTTTTGTTGTTGATGCGTTTCCTCATTTGGATAATTTAATTACGAAGCTTGCATTCTCCTTCAAAATGACATCTTTAGAGATAGTTTAAAAATGAGGGATAGATTTTGCTGAATATTATACGACTAAACAGCTTAAACAGTTATCATCTGGTCACGTAATCATGAAGATTACAGCTTATATATATATATATATATATATATATATATATATATCGGTGGTCCAGTGGTAGAATAGTCACCAGTCACGCATGTGGTCTGGGGTTCGATCCCCAGCAGACACGCTGCTTAAACTCGCTTGGCAGGTAGTAAGCCCGGTAAAGAGGGGGGGGCGTAAGGCCAGCAAACTCATGCCGTAAGAAAATAAAAACATTACTGCTACTAAAACTTCAGAGCTCAAGTTTGAAGCCTTGTGTTCCACTCGGAACACAAAGCATCAATATATATATATATTAGGTATACTACGTCAACTGTATTACTCCATTTTTACTGTTATAAAGCCCGCTAAATGAAAACTCCGGGATAATTTATATAGAAGTCAATAAAATACAAAGACTGTGTTGTAACTTTGGAGCTTTATTTGTCTTTTCAAAAATATGTTAAAAAGGAGCTTTTCAATACATGTTAAAACAAAGCAAAGAAGTTAAAAATAAATAAAAATAATAATAATAATGAAAATATACAAGTGTTAGATTACATAATCTAGGTTTTACAGTTACAATACAATACTTCTTTTTACAAAAATAAAACAGTCTTAAATGCCTTCCCTTGGTTCCAATTCAGCACGTGCTTTGCCTTTATTCTTTGAGACTTTTTCACTAGTACATTCTATCTCTTTCTCCTTGTAATAATGCGGTGCAACTTCAAGTAACCACTTTGGTTCAATTTCAATAACTTGACGCATAAACTCTTTAGTAGTATATACCAGCTCATGATAGATAACCCATTTTGGTAAGGCTTCAGCTAAACATGAATTAGGATGTGGATAAATAGTGTGCTTTTGTTTCACTGTTTTATAACCATTCCCAGTGAATCGTGCAGTATGATAGAAGAAACCAGCTGTAATAGCCTGAAAATATTGATAAGAGAAGGTGAAAAGAAAGACGGTATGATAGAGACACAGATAAACAAAATGTGCATACAACAGTGGCTAGTTGAACGACTTGTTTAAATTACCGAATATTTTACACACATACACACACACACACAAAGTACATAGTAAAACAGTCAACCTTGTAAATCAAGTTTTCTTTTGAAGAAAGCAGAACTTTTACAAGTGGAAACCCAAGTCACGAAAATTTTTATACAACCACGAACGTGGTTCAGGTGTGAAACCCGGTCAACTCACGCTTTAACTTTGCCAGATTGCTTTCGCTGGCTTCATACTGAAGATCAAATGATAGGTCAGAAGGAATTACCTACAAGAAACTCTGGCTGGGAACAAGCCAACCAAGAGCCTATCGCTCAACAAAAATGTAAGAGAAAATGGACATGGTTCTGGCATACGTTGAGGAGTCAGTTGAATAACATTGCGTGCAATGCAGGCTATTCCTCGAGTGGGATCCTAAAAGGGAGTGTCGAGTGGATCGTCAGTGCGAGGAGGAAATCAGAGATTATATTCAACCATGGACCCAGCTGAAGAGGACAGCAGAGAGCAGAACAGAGTGGAGATGTGTTGTTTTGAAGCCTTATGTTCCACTCGGAACCCAAGAGAATAATAATAATATTAACCAGGGGTAAAACTGGAAAATAGGGAATGTTGGGTGTGAAGCTAGCGAGTCAACTCCAACGCTACTGAGACTCCAATAAGTTCAGTTCTCCAAGCCCTGTGTTCCACTCACAACGTAAAGGGATGGAAAACAATTTCATTACCAGGTTTATAAGATTTCTTCAGTTGCGACAAATAAAACAACCCAACTCATTAGAAATTACAAATTACCACACAGTGTGTATAAATAAATAACTTACTTTTCTAATATTTACATGATCATTTGAATTATTCACTAGTTCAATTTCAACTCTGTCTAACAAGGCAACAAACTGATCTCGAATATCACGTGCACGTTTCATAGTTCGATATTGAATGAATTGTTCATAACACCAATGCGAAGAAAAATCTAGTTGGTAAAATATGATTTAAAAAAATCGGAAAACTGTTAGATTAACATTATTATTATTTACGAGTTGATCACGGATTGATATCAGTTAGAGAACCATTGAAAACCAGCACTACAATACTGCTGGACAGCTGTTTTATCCTAGTTTAGGAATCATCGGTAGTACGCACCCCCCCCCACCAGGGTTCGAATACAGGACCTTCTGGTTACAAGGCAAGCTCGTATACCATTCAGCCACTGGGACTCGATTCAGTGGCTCATGAGCTTGCCTTGTAACCAGAAGGTCCTGTATTCGAACCTTGGTTGGGGTGCGTACTGCCGATGATTCCCAAACTAGGATGAAACAGCAGCTGTCCAGTAGTACTGTAGTGCTGGTTTTCAATGGTTCTCTAACTGATATCAATCCGTGATCAACTCGTAAAAACATAACTTACCCTTACAAACCAAACTATAGAATATCATTATTATTATTATTAATGGTAATAACATCTCTGTGAACAGAAAGTTTATTTTTGGTGATTCACATGCCAGGAGTATTTAACTCAACAGTTGAACATTATTTTGTGCAGAAGAATAGAGTAAACCCCCAGTATATTGAGTAAATAAGGATGTTACATAATTGCTTTGTAAGCGTAGAGGGCTTAAATCGGCGGACAAATTGTTCATGATCAAGTGAGTACACTATTGAGCTACTTTCCTGTCTGTCTGGTTTTGTGTGCATTTCCACACCTAAGATAGGCGTAATATTTTTGTCGAGGGGTACTGATAAATATGCATTAACTAAAATCAATAGAAAACACACTTATCTTACTACTAACTAAATATGAAGTAGTAGGATGTTTCATAATAAATTTCCATAGGTCAGTTCTCAATACATTTCAGCTGAAAAGCTGGGTAGCAAGCAGGCTCTTATTAGTGGCATAGGTATGATGACCACAAATTCTGATTACAGAATGTAATAAAATTACAGAAATAATTTCAATATATACAGTGACCAATGAGATGTTTTAATGTTTACAACAATTGTCATCGGTTGTAATATTCACCATGCAAAGAGTTTCCCTGCTGACTCATGCTTTTACTCAACAAACAATTGTATTCACTTAGAGTTGGCGATGACCCACATCAAATGCATGAAGGCTAGTGATACACTACCTAACTGCTGGAACCTCAGTTGGTGGTGGTGGGGGGGCAGGGTTAGAACCCGTGACCCAGAGGTTGGAAGTTGGGAGTCTAGACTAAACAGTAAACTATTATTATAAATGGGTAAAATATATAGATTGTCTTTTATTTTACCTGATTCTGCCCATTGGTTATAAACATTGAGTAGCATAACATGATCTCCAGCAATGTGAAAAAATCCTTTTCGTGCTGTATCAGCATGAATTACTTTATCTTTAGGTCTATAGAAGATGGCATTATTTACTGACAGCATTGCTGCTATAGTAATTATATCACCGGAACATTTATATCTAAATAAAAACAAAGAAGGGAAGAAAAAATACAACTATCACAAAAAGTTTATAAACACAAAATTTTATGATAATAGTCAGTTGAGAAGAAACATACACCTGAATAGCTTATATAGTGAAATGTGCTCTTCTTTTCAAAAGAATTATGATTTATATGTGTAGCATTTGTTGAGCATTGTTGTTCCAATGTGTAGAAAATCTAATCCTACCAATTGAAGCACGCATACACACTCAGTTTTCACTCCACGAACACTGATTATGAGGTTATGGATTCAAAGTCCACAACATCCATTTATATCTGAGTGTGACAGCCAACTGGAAAAAGCAGTTATTCTTTAAGTGAGCGTACAGCAAGTCAACTTAGGTATACTCTTCTTCAGATATTATAAAAAAAAAAGAGTTGACTGTCTCTTTTATACTGTCTTTTGATTTAATTCAATTATAAAAATCCAGCTACAAAAAACCCAGTACAACTTTTTTTAAATCAACTGTTTTTAGTTTATCGAATATATGTGCGTTCTTCCCCACCCCTTTTTGGCTGGTATAATAGGGTAAGTGATGTTGAGATTAGGCGTCGAGTGTTGGGTAAGGAGAGAAAATCAATCGAAATTACATCAACTGAGATTGTTAGGACAGGTGTTACGCATACCTAGCCACCGCGATGTTAGCTGACACATGATCAGGTTGTAGAAGAGCTACTATGTGGTGGTGAAACCAAAACATGGCTTCATTAGTTACTGAAATCCATAACAGTTACTTTAAGCCATAAAGGGAGGCATGAAATTCCTGGTTGGGGTCTTCGGAATGTGCTAAGAACCAATGGTTGGAGAATATTGGTGATATGGCTCGAAATTGTTCTCAATGGCATAGGATGCACTCACTATTTTTGACCTGCCATATTCATTAAACGGCTACTGCTTTCCCATGTTGCTATACTTTCTCCCTATTCTAGTAATTTTGCATGTTGTTTTTCTTTCTATTGTCTGTCTTTGCGTGTAACATGAAGTGTGTGTTGTGTTTCTGTGCAAAGTTCTGCGTTGAAACCAGTCAATCAGTGAGTATACACACTGAAGACTTATTTATTACTATTACTATAAAACACACAAAGTTGGTAGATTATGGGCAGCAAGAAATGTACCACACAAAACCTCATAGTTTGTGTGGAAACTGGGATAATGCCCAGATAGAAACAGTGGAGACTTGATGCATTCCAATCCCCCACATCTTAATTTATCTCACTAAACATAGATATAAGATAGGAGTTTTCTTTAGAAGGTTGAAAGATCCCTTTTATGCATAGTAATTAAAGAACTGTTAATATAAACTCGAATATCCCTAATTTCATTCGGAGGATAATCAATAGAAGCATAATATACTTCAGAATGAGATTCCTTAGAGCAGTTTAAGCATCTGTTTAACTAATGCTAGCTTCGAAAAAAAAATATATTTGTATATATAAACTAAACGACTTACTTATCTGATGCTAAAATCATTTTTGATAATTGTGGACTACACGGGAATTCAGCCATTTGACGACCCATTTTGGTTAATTCACCTTTATGATTCAATGCACCCAGAGCATATAGCTGTTCTAATGCCATGATTAATGCATCATGTGGTGGTGGATCCATATAATCAAAGTGTAACAGATCATCAATTCCAAGAGATTTAAGCAATAGGACAACATTGCCTAAATTTGTACGTTGTATTTCAGGAATAGGTTGTGCTTCTAATTCTGTATGATATGCATGTGAAGTATACAGACGGAAACATTTACCAGCAGCTACACGTCCAGCACTAGGTTAGAAAACAAAATAGGCAACAATTTAAACAAATTTTTTTATTCAAGTATTGGTTTGTAGGGATTTGATTGATTATTGGTTACAGAATTTCATCATGAGCTGATATCGGTTAGAAAAATATTGGAAAATCACTAGGGAGTACTGCGCAGTTGTTTCGTCAGTCTAGTTTGGGACTCTTCATAGACACACACCCACCGACAGGGTTCGAACCCAGGATTTTCTGATTACAAGGTTAGCGAGCTCATAGACCATTAAGCCACTGCTACCCGATCCATTGACCTGTCCATGAATTCTAACTTTTGCCAATTCACGACATAGTGCGACCGTTAGCCGATGTCTTCGGCGAGTATTTGTCCTCACACCCGACCTGCTGCACACTGCTGGTCACGACTTCTCACTAGAACTACCTAAGTGTACAGGGCCAGTCGCTGGTAAGCGTCTCATTGATTTTTTCAAGTTAATTTTAAAAAGCACAACAGAAACCATAGATATGAATAAGGAGGTATATACATAGCAAAACACACCTATGAAGTCTTAATGTAAGTGGTATATGATGGTCAAGTATAGCCCTAATTAAATCCACTTAATAAAACAGAAGTAGGGAAAGTATGTCAAATCAAAAAGTCATAATAAAGAGTTAGGATAGGAGAAGTTGCTTATAAAAAACAACACTGAATAATGCTTAACATGATATACAGTGTAATTCCCCAACTCAGAATGAGATGTGTTACTTAACAGCCATTTGCAATTTCATGCACACCAACTGACCGAGGACCAGTATTACCACCTGTTTGGCTAAAAACTAGGTAGGGGGGAGCGATTTTCGAACCTGTGACCTATCGATTGAAAGCCAAGGGCCTAAACTAATGAACCATAGCTCCACAATTTAGAAACTGTTTTATATTATATGCCTGTTTAAGATGTGCAAGTTAACTATCTTCACCTTTTCTAAATTGCTTGGTATGATCGTGTTGAATGCAAAATAAAATTTCAACAGTTAGATTACTACTACTAATACTGTCGAAACATATGGCATAACTGAGAGAAACAAGACTTCGAAGGTTGCATAAGAACAACAGATTATTACATATTATTATTGCTGCCTTGGGTTCCTACTGAAACATAGGGTTTCACCTGCATGTCTCCACTTGCTTCTGTCTTCCTTATGCTGTACTTTTCGCCTGCATCCTTTTTGTTTTCCCCCCGCCAAATTTTACTCTCGCTAAATTATTTTTGAGGTGAGAAAAATATCTCGCGAGAAGGGGAAAAAAGACACAGTTTGGGATATTCTATTGTCCAAACACAAGGAGACGAAAATAAATGGTCTCACACCAAAGTGGTAAGTAAGTAAAGTAGTTGTAAAGTAAAGTAGTTCACACAAATTGTGAATGCGAATATATACATAAATAATTCAGACAAGCGTGGGAAAAATCATTAGACAGTCTTAACATGAATGGCTAATTATAATGGAGTGTCGATCCAATTATACATAGCGAATATAGCAGACATGCCAACAAACATATATGGATATATGTCACCAAGCAACGGACTGTCAACAAACACTTATATTATATATAATATAATATAAGGAGAATACACATTATTAAAAGAGACAGGTCCATACAAGTGAAGTGGTCACAGACTAACCGAGCAAACAGAAAGAGAGACCAACATGCACACACACACATAAATATATATATGTGGATACATATCAATCCATGTTAGTCCATACTCTTTCAACTCCTCTTCACTTCACAAGATCTCCTCCATGTCACCCTTGCACTGAAGTCCCACTCGCCTCTTCCCTTTCGGCCTGGTTCCACTCGAGCAGTGGCCTGACGCACGCGCGATGTCACCCAGCGGTCTCCTCGGCGAGTGTCCAATCCATCTCAATCCACTTTCTCCTGCATATTTGTTGGTTGGCGATTGGTTCTTGTTTTGTTTGTCCCCAGACATAGTTTCTTGTTGGTGATTCTTTCCGACCCGGCCATCTGATCCTTAGTATAGATCCAGCGAAGACAGTTGTTGATAAAGGTCTACAACAGGCTGTTGGAAATATTCTTTGTGACACGCCCGCCAAGTTTCTGATCCTGATTTTACGTTTGTATTGAAAATCCTACCGAATTTTGTTGTTGATGTTGGCTGAGTGACGAAGATTTCCAGATTGATTTCAGGTTGATGAATGTGTTTCTCGCCTTCCCGATTCTCGCTCGATTTGACATCCTCGTCCCTTCCTCCTGTAGTTGAGACAATGCTCCCTACATAAGTGAATGAAGTAACCTCTTTCAAACCCCTCCCGTTGATGGTTATTGACGCTGGATGTTTCTGCTGCTGTTGTTGTTGGTTGGTTATTTTCATCACTTCCGTCTTGTCTATGTTCACTTGGAGTCCTGTCTTCACTACCTGCTTCTTCGACCAGTTTGTCGGTTTTGTGTGACATCAAACATAAATCATCCACGCGCGAAATCCAGGTCTTCTAGGTTCTTCGCGTCGGTCCAGGATATTCCTGTCTTCTCGTTTCCCACTGCCTGACGCATAATCCAGTCCACCACAATTAGGAATATGATTGGTAATAATAAACACCCTTGTCTGACTCCTGTGTTTACTCCAAACGCCTCGCTGAGTTTTTCGTTGTGGATCGCTTGACATGTACCGTTGTCGTGCAGCTGTTGAATAAGGCTGATGAATATTTGGGATGCGCCGTAGTACTCGAGTAGTTTCCAGATTACTTCACAGCCAACGCTTTCGAAGGCCTTCTCAAAGTCTATAAAGTTGAGGTAGAGGTTTGCTTGCCATTCCATGCTTTGTTCTGTGATGATGATGCGTAGAGTTGCTATTTGGTCAGTACATGATTTGCCTTTCCTGAATCCAGCTTGTTCTGGTCGGAGCTCTGTCTCCAGTGCGTCCTTTAATCTCTCCAGGATGATGCGACTAAGGATTTTACTTGGTATCGATAGGAGCATGATTCCTCGCCAGTTCTTACCGAGTCCTAAGTTGCCCTTCTTTGGTAGTTTCATGAGGTAACCTTTCCTCCAGTCAGTAGACACCTTTCCCTCCTTCCAGACCTTTTGCAATAATGGAGTCAGCATGTCTGCCGTAGTCTCTGGGTCCGCCTTCAGTGCTTCAGATGGTTTTCTAAAACTCAAGAACATTACTTGGGGAACAAATTTTTCACCGTTGGTGAAATGAAAGGGACTGTAACTTGAAGCATTTTTCCCAAGTTTGATCAAGGATATATATAAGTTAGAGGACCACTGAAGACCAGGAGATACTGGACAGTCGTTTCACCCGAGTTTGGGACACTTCGGTAGCATGCACCCATGGCTCCAACACAGATTGGACCCGACACCTTCAGGTTTCGAGGTCAAGCTCGTTGACCATTCAACCATTTGGGTCGGAATTCAAAAGTTCATCAGTTTTAACTCTTACCAATTAGCAACTTTAGCACGGCCACAAGACAATGTTATCGACGGGTGTTTGTTTTTACACCAAACCTTGTGGACCTTACTGGTCACTTCTCACTTGGACTCCAGACAATTCTGTCCTGTAGTCAGTCACAAGCGTGTATCAAATTAATTTTCAGGAGTTAATTTGTAGAGATTTTATTTGGTCCACTAAAGTCGCGAATTGATGGAGGTTAGATATCACGGGACATTGAATTCCGGTCAAAGTGTCTGAATGGTCAGCGAGCACTGCATTGCCACGTAGCCTGAAACCCGGGTTCGATCTCTAGCGGGTTCGTGGGTGCGTACTATTGAAGAATCTCAAACTAGAACCAAACAGCTGTATAGTACTCTCTGGTTTCAAACGGTTCTCTAACTGACGTCAATCAGTGATCAAACTTGAAACAAATCAAATTTCTACAAACGAACCCTTGAAAATTTAAAGGTTTCGATAGGTGTAGAAAATACAGCAGTAATAAATGACAGTGTTGAAGAGATACCACTATTCATACAAGTAAGAGATTAATCTATTTTTACTCATACAACCTCGGGGCTCTTTTATATGTTGCATGCGTACAATTTTCTAATTAATTTTCGATTTTCAAAAAAACCCATTTTCAAAACTTTCAATTTATTTTTTGGATACTCTATTTAATCATTCACTTTTATTTCGTGAAATGGTTAAAAGCAAAGGAAAAATAATGAAATTAATAATAATATGAATATAAATAACAAAGTACATAAGGTATCTATAGTTTTACCATATAAGGGGGGGGGGAGACATCCGAGACCCTACTTAGGATTCTTAAAACACCAGGAATTAGGGTGGTATTCTAACTTACAAACTCACTCAGAGACAAGCTCTGTAGGCTAAAGGACCCGGTGGATCCAATTAAACAAAATAATATAATTTACAAAATACCTTGCAATGACTATGCGTTAAGTCAACTACATCGGTCAAACTAGTAGATCAGGGTAGTCAGACTATCAGAACATTCGAATTTAGCTAAGGTTAGAATGATTGAACCCACTCACGAAGATAAGTGATTTAGACAAAAACGCGGCAATAGCACTGCATGCATTAACACGCAACCACATAATAGGGTGGGACAGAGTCAAGATTCTAAAAAGTAATATAGGTAGGTGGGGAGAGATTGATTGCTGTGTCCTGGTTCATCCTGTCTACACCCAACACATGCAGTAGGAGTGACTCAACACAAATACTCGAGATATGGAAGATATCATTACCAGTCAAATTAGAGGCTAATAAATAATGTTAAAATTTATTTCAATTCACATTATAACATTCTAACAAGTTATTTATTTTACTAAAAAACATCTTACTTCCTATCTTATCGCATTTTATTCATAACACTAATATTATTTCTGAATGTACTTTATCGTATACTGATTTTATCCAAATGTCTAATCAATTTCACTCATGTATATAAGTGAAGCGAGAAAGTTATGTGAGTACCTTGATATGATTATAAGCGACAATAAATTCTACTCGAAACGTGGTCATCAGTTAATATCACTGTACAACACTGTGTGACTTTATCAAAATAAATCTTATCCACAATGGAATTATACTCTGTCATAGTGCCCAAGTTTTATCCTTATATAAATTTTATTTCATGAGTCTCTTCATTCTTTTCCTGTCACCTCACGACGTTTTCATCTATATTATATGCATAAATAATAAACAGTGGTTCTTTCCACCATTTCAATACTAATTATTTTGTGCTTATGATCTTGTGTTTGATCATAGTAGGTTTATATACAGCAGAACCATAGAGAAAGGGTAGTATTGAGGTTGAATAAATAATTTCACATAATAGAGGTACCTTATTCAAAAAGAAATTTAATCAATATTAAATGAAGTGGTTATTTAAATTACTGGACTATCTAATTTTACAATAAACATAACGCATCAACTTTGCTGCCTTTCTTATTGTTTTAATTATGCAATTAATAATGATAATAATAATAATTTCGCTTCTATTCCAGAAACAGTACTAGTGGTACAGTGTGGAATTTTTAGCACATATCTACAATATTGCATCTAATTTCATCGCACATTTAAAAGGAGTATTACAAAAAAATAAATGTAAAAAACAACAACAAAACCAAACAGAAACACAAAAAATAACAAAAAAAAATGCAAATAAAAATACCAAGTAGAAAGGAAGATAAACACCAATAATGAATAATATTTCGGTATTTGGTAGTGGGAGCCATGATATGTCATTGGATAGCAGGGCGTACTCTCGTACATTTTCATATAAGCTTCTAATCTACGGATGTGTATTTCTTGAAGGAAACACATCATAGGACAGTAGATTATGAGATACTTTCGATTACTATTTCATATGAAGATTTTGTACGAGGAGTCATTATTTTGTGGAATAAAATACACTGAAAATTTTGCATTGTATGCTAACCTATTGCCTACAAAGTTATTATTATTATTATCATCAATGTTATATTGCTGACTACAATACTTAAGCCTAGTCAGAATGAAAGTAGATCGAAGTTTAGTAAGCACCATATAAAACTAACGATACTATAGTTGATGTCTAGGTCGGTGGTACATTGGTAGAATGCTCGTCAACCACTCATATAGTTCAGGGTTCGATCTCCGACAGACTCACTCTTTTACCTCACTAAGCCAATAATAAGACTGGTAAAGAGGGAAGGTCGGGCATATGAAGCTAGCAACCCCATCCAGTAAAAGTAAACTCCACTGCTACCGAAACTTCAAAGCTGTAGCTTGAAACCCTATTTTTCACTGGGAACGTATAGGAATAAAAAAAATAGTTGGTGCATTTATTCACTGTTGGTTTACGCCTTTTGGAGAAGTATTGTGGCCTAGGTAACACGGGTCACCTTTTGCCTTCTCAAAACCTAATTACTTCATCGACACTTGTCATTTCTCCTATATTATCTCCACTACTGCCTAAGCATAATGTCTTTCGATCACTATTAGTTTTATGCTGTACTCCTAATTCCATGTGACTAGCAAGTTATAAAATTGAACTTCTATTCTACGTCTAACACTGCACCACATACTTGTTTATATAACTGGTATTTCAATGCTAACAAGGTCAATGTTTATATTTTGTTATTGTATTTACAAAGATTTATTGTAACAAAGAAGACATGAGAAAAAAACGACAAAGAAAATTAGTATCACTTACCGTCCAGCTCGTTGATCAGCTGCAGCTTGTGATATCGGCACAACAATCAATGATTCAACACCGGAACGTGCACTATAAAATTTTTGTTTACAAAATCCTGTGTCAATCACATAGATTATACCATCAATAGTAAGTGATGTTTCAGCTATATTGGTGGCTAAAACGACTTTACGTGCTCCTGGTGGTGTTGGAGCAAATATTTTCGCCTGGAATTCAACCAATGAAAGATTACATTGTTAAAAATAAAGACTCTTCATTATGACAGAAAGTGGTGAAAACATTCAATAGCTAAGATATTAATTTCTGAGCTTTTTGAATTACTGGCTTTAAATTTGCGATAACTTAAGAAGATTCTCCATCGCCATTATGTTAATTATAACTAACTGACCAATGAAAAAATTCTAAACAGTTCGAAATGTGATTGGTTGATTTTTTGTTTTCAGTTGTCAGCAAGACGTATCGAAAACCTCGAAGAAATTAATATCTTTCAGGTGACTCGAAACCTTGTCACACACCACCCAGTGGTACAATCAGAGATGCTACTACTACTCAGCTAATCGAGTCCATGATTGATTTCCTTCAGGACTGTATTAGTTACATTGGTTCGCCTCAAATTACTCGACATCAATTCTAAGTGCATAGAGATGGTGAACCACATTATAAACTAGACTAACAGAATCCAGTTAGCATGTGACAATGATTACTGCCCCGCCCCCAGTCACCAACTGATGTAATTATCATGATTTTGATTTTTAAATACTTCCTACGAATAACCGTAAACGACCCTTCTACGACTGATAGTAGGTAGACTTGATTGTTTCTCTCGAAACGCTCTCATTTGGTCATTCGTTTACAACTTCTGCTAGTTAAGTTCTACTCACTGACTCTATGCGACAGGAGTGTTCCTTGAAAAAGTGAAAGGGAGAATGAGAACGGATGGAGCTTACAACCGGACTAGACAAGAAGTTCTACTTATGGGGAGCTGAAAAACCTTGATTCCAAACCTTATGATATACATGGGCTCCAGAGTCCGAAAGGACCAAAGGATGTATGAACCTGTTTTGTTCATTGAAAACCACAGGAACGCAGTTTCACCGCCTTGTTTATCAAACTTCAAGTCAAAGGCTCAGGGGACAGCCCCTTAAGACATCCACCTACTTCGGTCTAGGCCTCCGGGCAGCATCCCAGCCCTCATACAAACTGTGAGACTTTGTGTAGCACATCTCTTGGTGTCCATAATGTAATAATAACAATAATAATAAAATTGTCCTTACACAATAAAAATACAAATCTGAGGTAGTCAAGTCGAAGGCGTATATGATGTTTTTACTCCACCCGGTTCCCGTCAGTTGCAGACTAACTTGGATGAGAACCTGGAGATGACATCGTTTCATGCTACAAATTTAGTCTATCTTTCTTTATCAAAATTGGACTGTGTTAAACATAACCATGATATATAACATCCTATAATTGGAAGTATAGTATGAACTTTGATATCACAAAGGTAATACATTTTATAAATATCTTTTTAACTGCATATGTCTATTTAGTGCGTAAGTAAGATGATCATCTGAACACAAACGAGGACAAGACAGACGTTTTTTCAGTGTATTTACAAAATGGATCGTAAATGAGAATGGGAGTGGATCTGTGATTGATTTCTTATCCAGCTTCAAGTTATGGAAGTTTGACAAACTGATGGAAAAGTTTTGTCTTCATTGAATACATTTTTTCCAGTAAATTCTCCACATTTCATCGTGACTAAAACATTACACACAACTTGAACTTTCCATTCCAACTGATATGTACAGTTTCATTTAATAGTAAGTGTGAATATTAATCATGAGAAAAGATGGAGACGGTTAGAAATCTGTTCGCCATATTGATGTGCTACTTTTTATTTTCGTGAAAGATCAAATGTTTATCACTTTCTTACTTCATATAGTTGGGTTCATGTGAACCACAAAAATTAAAACTACGGCTTCCCTAATCTACGAAGGCCGGCAATTTTAAGTGGTTGTACTGGTTTATGTAGCCTCTTGCGAGTTTTTTAGTATAGAACTACAGACTACTGATTGACCGAAATGAGTAGTTGTGTACCAACCATATCAATCAGTAGAGCTTGCTAGACAGATTGAGGTGATCTAAACACCGGACAGCCGTTTCAGTAGTTTGGGAGCAAGCTCATTAGCGATGTACCCGGTTCGACTTAGCTCAGAGGACTGAATCAGTTTAAACTACTCGATTTCTGGTTTCCAAAGGAAAATATAATGAAATCTCACCCTTCGAACTGTGTACATCGCAGATCACTAACTAATTTGTAAATTGTTAATTTGGTATAAAAGAATAGGCCAGATGTTTTCTTCTAAATACTGTTTTACATTACACTAAAATTTTCATAGATAACCATGACAGACTTTAATTTTCTGATGGATAGAATAGATAATTAGAAGGAATAAATGTTCAACTATGATTCAGGCTAATCACAGTAAGGCGCATTTTATGAACTAATGTGCTGTTATGTATATGCTCAAGAACAGTGTAGAAAATCATTCACCATAATTTGTTCTAATGGCGACTGGTGTATGATTTCCCAAGTAAATGTTCACCCTTTCTCAAATTCGTCAATCGAATTCAACTAAATCACAGGGTTTATTTTCATCATAGATATACTAATCGACTTAAACTTAACTGACCACAGAGACTCAGGGATTGACTTGTTACCAAGGGATAATCTAAATGACTTATAATATGCAGATAGTATAGTCCTTCTAGGTGAAGACGCTGACAAAATGCGGTCTTCTGAACACTTTCAGCAGCGAGCAATCTGTGAATATTTGGCATGAGATTTGCTGCCGTCAAATGTTAGATGATGCTACAGGACTGGTCTACATTGACTCCTAACTTAGAGATATGGAGTGCAGTGGTGGAGTGTATTGACCACTTCATTTATTCGGGAAGTTGCATCAGCCAGCGCCAACAGGTTGATCGATGACGAAATCTCAGCACGGATACAGAAGGCCTGTTTCGCATATGCAAGTTTATGCCATCTCTGACTTCTTAGGCATAATATCCGGTTGGAGGGCGTGTGTGCTGCTCAGCAATTCTCTTCATCCTCCTTTATGGCAGATAAACACGACCATTCAAAGTGGAAGACATGAAAAGGCTCGTCAATTGTCTTTGATCATAGGTGGCTGCATCCTTTCTCCCGTGTTAGATGGTATAATCCCACCTCCATCACGAGTTTATGCGTCGGTGGCACAGTGGTTAGGACTCTCGCCGACCATGCACTTGGTCCGGGGTTCGGGCCCACGCCGGCGCACACCTTGATATCTATGGTCGGCCTGCGAAATTTGGGCTACCGATATCCATGCTGAAAATTTCATACTTGTACCAAAAATACGGTGTGGAATCAAGCTGTAATCAAAAATAATAAATAAATAAATAATAATAAGGTGAGTAATATTGAGGTTAGGCTTCGGTCAAGTGTTAGGTAAGGAGTGGGAATCAATCGAGGGGGTTGTGAAGTTACATCGATTAGGATGGTTAGGACATGTGTTACGCACGCCTTCTAGCCATAACCTTCCTCGACAGGCAATGTTAGCTGGCTGACATAGGATCAGATTGGGAAACAACTAGTGGTGGTCAAAACAAGACATGGCTTCATCAGTCAATGAAATCCATAACAATTAGTTTAAGCCAGCCACATAGGCAGATGTAGACTGCTGTCTGGTTGGGGTCCTTAGGACGATAAAAGCCAATAGTTGGAGACAATTGGTGATATGGCTCAAAACCATTTTCAATGGCTGGAGCATATGCATTCACTCTTTGTGATTTATAATAACCAATAAGATTGTATTGTCTTTTCATATTTCTGTTCATCATCCCTCTTTACTCTCTTCTGTTGCTTTGTATGCTACATGGCGGGAGTGTTTAAACTCGAACTGGTGCACATCTGTGCAAAGTTCTACGTTGAAACCAGTCGATCATTTATATTACAGAGTGATTACATTCCATCAAATTCGCAATTTGCAACCTATACAGTTCGATGTTTAGATCCTTTCGATTTGACTAGCAAGCACTACTAGTTGAGTAGTATCCAACTACTCATCTTAGTCAATCAGTAGTATGTAACATCATAAAAACAGCAACAAGTAAGCGGTACAAAATAAGTAGCATTGGGATGGAAATCATGGCTACAGCAATATAACAGCACAGCTATGCTAACAGTCGTTAATAAAGTTAAGTCTAATAAAGTAAACACAGATAAGATCCCAGAATTGTACAATCACATAAATCAATTAGAAATTATTAAAAAATATATAGAATTGAAAACATACCTGCATATCAGATGGAAGAGTAGAATAAATTGGTAAGATTAACAGTTCACGAATTTTACTGCCTAATTTTCTTGTACGTTCAACAAGTAGTTCATTAGCCGTCTCAATTTCTTCTTGACCAGTTAAAAAGACTAGAATATCACCTGGTGGTTGAGTAACATGAATTTGAAGAACAGATATTATAGCAGCTTCAATATAATCTGCTTCTGGGGCCTAAAAAACCAAGACAATTCTATTATATTGACAGTAAAAACAAGACTGTAATACTTAAATCTCTCAAATTGGTACGATTAAGTAAGCATCTCTAAATTTATATGTCACATCATTTTGCTAATATCCCCGTCTGTTGAAAAGTTAGAGATAAGTTTGAGCATATGATGATGAACCGAAGATGAGACGTACATGCCAAAGACTGACAACTCAACTCAAACGAAAGATGCTCAACTTATTAGTTCCCACTAAGAAACAAACAGGTCCATATTGAAATGGATAAGGTGAAGATATATAGATGTAAGTTAATGGCACTACCTGTTTAAACGGAAATCTCAGGTTTTTCTGAACCCATAGAATACTGACAATCACACATTGTTATTACTCCCACTGTTTGATAATTTGAGCATAACTCAAGGTCGCAGTGGCAAATATGAAAGACGACACTAACAAAGAAAGTCATCTACTGTGTTGAACTTGAGAATCCCATCCCGAACAATCATAAATTACTAATAAGATAAAGTTTTTAGTTACCACCTGAGTAAAATATCTAATGACGTTTGTGATTGTTTCACTGATTACTATTACCCAATAGCAATGTTAGTTGAAATCAGATTGGGTTCAAAAAGAGTCACAGGCGTCCTGACTAAAATGCGGTCATTGAGCGTCAGTCTAGGCTAAACATCTCGACATGGATTATCTAGCTAGGGGTTTCAGGATGCTAGATATGGCTGCAAAATCGCTTATATATATATATATATATATATATATATATATATATATATTCAATCTTTTTCATATTCCAGTGTGCCAGATCCAGGTCTATGGTAATATCATTCTGTTTTTGTCACTTAATTTAGCGTGTTTTTACGAAGTTCATTTGTCAGTCATTCAGTAAAGTGTCGTAAGTTGCACGTTAGCTACTGCGACACAACTTTGAGTGTTGATGAAATATAGGAATAATTATTTAGTACAAGACCTCTAAATATGTTTACAAAGAATTCAATTACATCAGTTTTTACGAGTTGATCACCAATCGATATCAGTTAGAGAACCATTGAAAACCAGGGAGTACTGGACAGCTGCTGTTTCATCCTAGTTTGGGAATCATCGGCAGTACGCACCCACTGAAGTTCGAACCCAGGACATTCCGGTAACCAAGGCAAGCTCGCATACCATTCAGCCACTGGGACCCAATTCAATGACCAGCCCATGAATTCTAGCTACTACCAATTCGTGATTTAGCGCGACCACCGACCAATGTCATCAGTGGGATATCTAATTACATTACTAAGTTTTTAAAAGACGAAATATTCTTCAATGAACCATTCCGAAATTTAAACAATTAATATTATAAGACAGTCCAAAATTAGCTCTGATCGTGAAATAATGTCCCTTTGTGTTCCGTGTGGAACACAGGGCTACAAGCTTTAGCTTCAAACTTCGGGTAACAACGGTGTTTATACGTATTCAGGTTGCTAGCCTCAAACCCAACCTTCCCTATTTAACGGGCTTACTAACGGCTAAGCAAGGTTTAGGAATCCATCAGCCGGAGACCGAACATCGGACCATGTGTGTGGTTGGCGAATATTCCACCAGTGAACCACAGACGCGTGAAATAGTGTCCAGCTTTGGGAAATTCACCCGAATTAGTTATGAACCAAGTCAATAAGTAAAGTAACTGGCCACTAATCAAATGATTAACCTCAAATACATTTTGATATAACAGTCTAAACAAAACATACCTTTGTATAGTAAATATCAACTGGATAACGCCGACCTGGGATTCGAAATACAGGAGCATCATCAAAGAATGCTGCGAATTTCTCTGCATCTAAAGTTGCAGAACTGATTAGGAGTTTTAAATCAGGACGGAAACGAGCAACATCCTGGAGAAAAGAGTAAAATTAGAACAGTTTTTATCACACAAAAAAGACTAAAACAACATTTTCAGACATTTGTGATATATATATATATATATATATATATATATATAAAATTTTACTGACACATGACCACTTTTCTTAAACGTTACCGATGATTAACTATCGATGACCTCCAGTGGAACTTAACACACATTTCATTCAAGACTAGCTCACACATTTTGTACCAATAAACAAACAAAAGGATTAGTTGAAAACTTTAGCGAAACTACGACAGCATGACTTCTCAAGTATCTATAATTGTTGTAGCAATTAACTTGATGGCTTTTGAAAGCTAATGGTTTGTTTAAACGAATAATCTCGGGATATACAACATGTAGATACCAGTTCACTTGCTCTTGTGGAGCTGAATACATCGACCATACCATGGCGTTCACTCGGAAACACTATCCAGCCTGGCTAGCAAGGGAAGAACGTAAGTGTTTTTATAGCTTGGTAACAGAACGTCTGGTGAACTCATAACAATCAGCTCCACTTGAAAAGTCCTTCAAAGTCATATACAAGATCCAATCAAACCTCCCAAAGGGAGTGACATTAAAGTATTTGGGAGTAGCTGAAGCACTGGCGATCCAAAAGTTCAAGCCCAAGCAGTGTATTCATAGGAAATATGTCCAACCTTTGTCTTTATTATAAACGGTCAATTCTGCAAATAGTGATTATTTTATCACGTTTTTTTTAATCCAAACTTCCTGTCTATTTATGTTGTTTTGAAATTTTTCATCTCTGTTTGCACCACTATATTTCTCAGTCTGAAATCGTGTTATCTTATTAATTTGACTATGGGCTGGAAATAGTCCTAGAACTTTCTCACCTATTTACTATAAATACACACATGCACAGCCTAGTCGATGACTTAGTCGAAAGGAGAATTTTCTTCTCTGCAACCGTTTTTTTTTTAATTTTTACTTTGATTAAACGAGAAAACAAGAAAAAAACATTGATACGCATATTGTCTTATTCAACTTTTACTCGTTAAATTCATTCATCAGTCAATAACGATAACTAAGTAAAACCTCAATCTTACCTTTACTAACCCAAATAGTATATCTGTATGAAGTGTACGCTCGTGAGCTTCATCTATCATCATTACGGAATAAGCGCCCAAATCTGGTTCTGTGAGAAATTCACGCAGCAGCATACCATCAGTCATATACTTTATTATTGTACGCTCAGATGTACAATCTTCAAAACGAATACTGTAACCCACTTCACCACCAAGTCGAACAGACATTTCTTGTGAAACACGAGCAGCAACTGACATAGCAGCAACACGACGAGGCTGAGTACAACCAATACGCTTTCCACCATTACAATAACCCTATAATGAAACGAATATATCTTAATTAGTTGAAAACGAATAGAGGAGAAGGGATATTCAGAAGAAGAAAAAATCAAATTTGACAAGTGAATCAATCTAAGTGACAAGTTTAAAAGCACCTCAGACAAATAAACTCAGAGTTATAAGGCAGATTTCGTCTCCGTTAGACAGACATCAGTCAAGCAAACCATTGAAAGCTATGGAGCAGCAGACAGCTATTTCCGAGTCCACATAGTTTTGAATCTAGAAGAGATTCTAATTACAACATAATTTCGCTTTCGAAAACTGAGTAATCCACTGTTATAAAAAAACATAAACATGACGTTAATTTGCTGTTATTAATCTTACTACTTATGAGTAACATACGGCTTTTAGCACATTTTCCCCTCTTCACTGATAGGCTGTTTATGCGCCTATAATTATTTAACTAGCTGACGCAAACAGTTGACATTCAATCATACTGAACTTTTCGTTTTAGAATTCGGCTGACTGTGGCTTCTATTCAACTGTAACATCGTCTCCAAGATCGAATCAGCGCAGTCAACGTATCCCAGTTATTTATTACAGATATCCGACTGTTTATTACACCAAAAAGAGTAGTAACAATTCCCCAATACCAATTCTTAATGTTTGATTTGAAAATAATTATTTATCCGGAGATAGCTCCAATAAAGTTAAAAAGTAGATGGAAAACTGTTAAACAGTATCCATAAGTACAACACGATGAACATACCGCTTCATACAAGTATTGGGGAATTTGAGTTGTTTTACCAGAACCTGTTTCACCTTCTATGATTAAAATCTGGTGATCTTCTATGGCTTGCAAAAGAGCATCTCGAAATTTATAGATGGGAAGGGAACATCTCGCCTCTTTAAGAGCTTCACGTTTATCAGCAACTTTTTTCTTCTCTTCTTCTTCTGGATCAACCTGTTCTTCAACATTGGCACCAGGTCGTGTTAATGTCTTCAAGAATTCTATTTCATCATCCAAAACAAGATCATATTTCACCTATAGAATTAAAAGAAAATTAGATTGTTATTGGTTACACACTTTGACTTTCAAAAAAACCAGTAATCAGAGTTTTAGCAGAATAATGATGAGACTGAAACATCCAGCTACATTGATACAACTGACAGATGAAATCTACTTTATTTCTTTCGAAAACTACGGTGATCCGAAGGCTGATGATTAGTACTGACCCAGAGGACACTTTTGATGATGTAATTGTCGTTATTTTCCATGTAGCATTTAATAATCAATGAGACAATAAGTATGAAATTAACAGTTGATCTACTGATGACTTTATGTCCCCAGAGTCCTTCGGTAAAATAGGAACAAGGGCTTCTAAACAAAACATATTCATTTTAATTCAGGGTAATAGAACTTTGGTGGCTGTTTCGGAGATGTATTTCAGTGACTTAAGCTCTAATGGGTTTTGAGTTCGGACCTCGTTTTACCTACTGAGGCTTGAACAATCTTGTAGTATTATCGATTTTCACACAATGAGTGTTCATTATTGTTAATTGCGAGGATATACAAGTGGTTGTTCGATAACATTTATTTAACTATTCAATTGATCAATTCAAAGCAAGGTTTTACGTTTATAGGGTATATGTTAAACCCTAGATTTTACTGTAGTCATAACGTTTTCATCATATCTTTTTTATTAATGTTTAGATAGTCAATCTTTTTTCCTTTGCACTAGGTGATTCCTCTTTTCGCCTAATTATTCACTGCATTTACTTCATTGTCTGAATGCTTGGAAGCATATTTTGCGCACAGTTTCATACCTCTCCTGCTGCCTCGTAGATTATATCATTATCGTATTATTATTATTGTTCCCTTGGGTTCCTAGTGGAACATGGGGCTTCAACTGCACGTCTCCACTTGCCACTTCTGTCTTCCTTCTACTGTACTTTTCACCTCCATCCATGTTAGTCCATACTCTTTCAACTCCTCTTTACTTCACAAGATCTCCTCCATGTCACCCTTGCACTGATGTCCCACTCGCCGCTTCCCTTTCGGCCTGGTTCCACTCGACCAATGGCCTGATGCGCGATGCCATCCAGCGGTCTCCTCTGCGAGTGACCGATCCATCTCCGCTTTCTCCTGCATATTTGTTGGGCGATTGGTTCTTGCTTTGTTTGTTCCCATAGTTCCTTGTCGGTTATTCTTTCCGGCCCGGCCATCTGATCTTCAGTATAGAGTGAAGACAGTTATTGATAAAGATAGGTCTGCAACAGGCTGTTGGAAATATTCTTTGTGACCCGCCCGCCAAGTTTCTGATCAGTATAGAAGAACTGACTTGACGTAGATTATAAAGCAGTACTAATTTATCTACCATTTTATTCATAACCAACAAATACCGCGATTCATGGTTACTATAAATATGAATTTACAGTCTTAGGAAGATAAACCATTGAAAAGATTTTTATAGCCGAAATGCTTATTATTGGCTTTGTCGATTCATTCCAAATGTCGTCTAAGATGAACCTTCATAGAAGTCATGTATTACCGTCCACCTTGTCCTTAGTATACTTCAGTAAAAAAACAAATTACCATTCACGTTGTAAGCTTTTACGATGTATCTATCGAGGACGGAGAATGTCTCTACCATAGTGTGATGGCTATGTCTAATGACGGTGAAGAACTGATAAACTTACCTTTTAAAAGTTTTAAGAAGCGACTATCTTCTGTAAACTTACTGTTTACTAACAGCAATCAGGTACTGAATGATTACGCATTTTAAGAATTCAAAACTCTGTACTTATCGTCTCCCTTACTAAACTTTGCATTGTGTTTACTCTATAATTATGGTTATTTATAGATTGTCACTACATAACCTAGAAAAAAACATCAATTTGGTTAAACTATGTACGGCCTATATTCATCATTCGAAATTTTACATCCAGCTAACCACACAGCATCCCCATTCTCAAGGTGACTGGAAGCATTGTAAAAGAGTTTGCCATTTGTATCATATTACATATTTGATTCAACATCCTTAATTTCAACCGAAGTTGAAAAATCAGTGTGAATATTTTAACTCAGTCGATGCTTAGACGTCTAGATATAAGTAATACAAATCAAAGAATTTATTACAATTTCCTACACCATTATATTGGCCATAATTAAAGCCCTGCAGGAATCAAATGAACTACTTTTCTGACCGAATCACTGATGATGAAGTTAACTGCAGCATATTACAGAATAATCACTAAACGGGTTCACACATAAGTGAACTATAATACTAGAATCAAATTTCTAACTATAGATCAAAATCATTCTAAAACTAAAGTTAAAATAGTTTCAATCACATATTGAGATAATGTGACACTGATTCACCTTCATTAGTGATATTCCATTTACCTAAGATATCTGCCATACAAAATTGGATAATATTATGAGGGAAAGATTACGTAAACAGTTAATTCTCTTCTAGTTTTTATTCGTAACTACTGAGTAAGAAGACAAATAAATTGACGAAAGTAATACCTCATCTATAAAATCATGACTAGAAATCAATTAAACAAGCTACGCTACATTAAGAGATTTTAGTGCACCACTGCTAAAATTTGTCCCATCGCTTCACTGCCAAAAATAATTTCTGTTGGGTATCAGTAAGTGATGCTGAGTGCAGAAATAAGTGGATTGTTGTATACACTGTTTAAAGCATTAGTACTCCAAAATAATACACAATATAAAGTAAATGAAATCCAAGAGCAAGGAAGCAGTCAACGTAACACACTGATAATGAGGGGACTACAGATATTACCACCAAATATCGGTGAGTGAAGTGAATTTCGAAACTGTGATCTACACGTTGAAAATCGACTCCCTAGACAAGTATTTCAGAGTGTTTTGGCTAAGTGAGTAACGAAAATGATCATGTCCAACAAAAAATTAACAGGTTAATACTGGTCTACTATACAAACAGAACTTTAGTACAGTGTAACAAAAATAATGTAATACATCACACTGATACACTAATATATATTGCTCGCAGTTAAATCCAGGTGTTTTACTGGCTCAAAGATAAGTAACGCAGCACAGAAAGATGTGAAAGTCCTTGAGTCAATAGGTGTCCGTAAGTTAGGCTTAAGCTAAGCAAACCTAACCACTTCACCCAACCTTCAGAAGTGACTAAGCAGTTTACTGTGTATCATACCAATACGCCCCGTAACTCAATGACTGTAAGTTATGGCATTGTCAACGAAATCAAGTTTTGTCACACAAGAATTCAGTTATTCAACAGCAGATACTAATTTGGCTGAAATTTCTATTAATTCTATGAATCTTCTCCAACACTCAGATGTATATACACAAGCAGCTGATTTAGCCGTTAATCTTTGAGCTACTCTAACGCTAGTTACAGAACCGTAACAAAAATCAAAACCTGATAAAACAGAAATATAGGAACCAATAGAGATGTCTGGTGGAAATTATGACACGTACACTACAATACTGTGGAGAAAGGGAAGTCATACTTGATTAATGCTTAAATGTAGTAAGTCGAATGGAGCACAGCACAATTTTAATTATCTACTGACTGAAAACAGTGCGCAACGCAATAACTGAAAACAGATGTCTACTTAGACCTTAGTGAGTCAAAAAGTCAATGTCCTAAATCTAATATTTAAAATGGAAGTAAATGAAGCCTACGATCTTCCTCAAATCTTGGTTCTTGATTCATCATTATCAGTTATAAAATCAAATTCACAATTTGCAATTTACAGAGTTCAAAGGGGCAAAATCTCACTAGTTTCCTTTAGAAACTAAATTATTTAGATCACATACTGTAATTTCATTGATGCCGTAAGTGAAAAACAAGAAAGCAATCGCATATGCATAAAACTGTTAACTACTGACTCTGATATGAATAGTTGTACACCATTCATATCAACCAGTAGTATTTGCCAGGTAGATAGAGATGACCTGAGAATCTGAGTCAGATCAAGCATGTGACTAGCGAGTAATCCGCCACTGAACCATTTTCTGTCTATACCACTTATCTGGTGGTAGAACCATGCTCGCGACTTAAAATTAACAACTCATAATTCAGTTTACAACATGATACACCTAAACTCCTTACATCTTAGAAAACGAAAGTTCTAGACTTTTTACCCGAAGACCAAACTAGTACACCCTAGAGCTCTAAAGAAAGATCATCTGCCACCAAGTTAAAAGTGAAACAAACAATGTAGCTTCACCTTGAAAAATGTCGTGTAAAAGATAAAGCTACTGTGAATTAGTTTTTGTTTTTTAATACCTGGTAAAAAATATACTTCACAACACTAGATGATAAATAATACGTATCAAACCGGTGGACAATATCACCGAGTCACTAAACTAAGAAGTAGATTTATAAAGATCACTTACGAGCTATTTGAAACATTCACTGGAAAGGTTTAATAAATGTCAATAAAACTAACAGTAAAACACGAGAAGACAACTGAGACGCTTTCATGTGCGCAAAAACACCACCGTTTACTTGACTAAATACTGTGACGAACGAGTTTTTTGAAAGAATAAAAGTACTTGCCATATTTGAATAAAAATTTGGAAGTATTTATAATAAGCGAAAAACTATTATACATACCTGTCGTTCAGTTTTATCCTTAGCACCAAATGAAAAAAGTGCTGAAGAAAGATGTTCCTGCTCCCACCGCTTGCCCTCATCATTAACTTTACTTTCAGGTTCCTTTACTTCACGATCTTCAGGACGCTAGTAGAATAACAGATAAGGTAAGTGATAAATACCTTTTCTTCAGTGGGGATGTAATAACGAGCCATATTCTCTAATTCCCCAGCCTGCTGGTGAGACTTTGCAACCGCCAAAATAGTCTTTTTATACTCTAACTCAGCCTTTTCCGCCTCAGTAAGCCTAGGAGATAGAGGAAACAAAGTATAGGAGCATACTCTTCGTCATCAAAGAATAATTCCTCATCCTTTATTTCAGCTTGAAGATCTGCGAGCTTATCAGACTGCCTCTTTTTCAAGTATGCACGCCTAGACGCTTTACGCAACTCAGCCACCATTTCTTCACGACTCTGAAAACCAAAATTAGGACTAAACTGAAAATACGAACTTACGACTTCACCAGCAGCAATTTTTTTCAGAGCTTCCTCATGTTTACTTGCAGGCTTAGATGACAGTCGTTTGGTTTCTTGCTGATCTCGGTCAACAAGACGCTTCACAAAAGCATCACGCTCCTTCAAATCATTTTGTCGAGTAATCTCCTCTTTCTCGTATTCTTCCAGACCACTGGACTCATTACCGTCCTCTTTCTCGACACTAGCAGAAAGCTAATTAGAAAAGTGTATTATGACATACACTTCATGGTCAGAACTGCTTTCGCTGTCTTGTCTTTGCCTAAAGCATCGACGTTTAGGTGAACTCATTTAAGTAACGTACGTATTTGTATATTGCGCGTTCAAATCCCATTGACCAACAACGACGCCTCGATAGTGAAGGTCAAGAATGTGTTATCGCGCCATGTGGTTATTCTTCTTGTGAATTATTTTGCCGTTGAAATTATCAGGTTTCTTGACGTTCTGCATGTTTCAATGTGTTAAGACCAATATTTTTAACCGGAGATATATTGTGGCTATTTCCAATATCCAATATCGTTTTTTCAAGTTAGTGTAAACCAATTTGATTTCTTCGTGCCCGCTTCTTGATTGTAAGGTATAGGTTCCTGATCTTTGGTAAAGTTCTGTGTAGCTCCTCCCGCCACTCGACTGTCGTAGCTTTGGTTGACTCCAAAGGGAGTAGTGCTAGGATTAATTATATGTGGTTTGTAATATGAGGTGTGTCAAGACTGTTATTTGATAGCTGTTTAAACAGTTTTCTCAGATTTTTGGAAGTGCAGAGTATTTTTTGCGTTTTGACATTTTAGCATATAGCAGAGTGTCCTGCTGATCAAATGTAATTCTATTGCTTCGGATGAAGAAAGAGTCCGAGATCAAACAAATGATGTTTGATGAAGAGTGAGAAATAAATGCAGCCAACTCTCAAAATAACACTAAACCTTGATGACAAAACTTAATCTTCTGTTTCAGCATAATATGGACTTTCGAAGACATATATATGCATAATTTTGAACACAGAAGCTTACTGAAATATTTGCAATGTTTCCCCTTGTGTATTCATCAACAATGTCTTTCCTTTCTTCGTTTATTGAATGAATCTTTAGACATCTTGCTTGAACAGTGTGAAATATATTTGCATTGTCAAACAAATGTGTATGTATGTAAATACAAACCATTCATTTCTAAAATTTCCATGATTATCTCTGCAATGTACTTGGTGATGTGTATGTTACTGTAAAGGTTTGTGTCAATTCTTAAGCTAAATCCCACTAAGTCGTACAGTTGATCAAGTGGGTGAAACTGACATCGGGATGCTTTACGTGAAATAGGACAAGATAGTAAGTGCATGCCAAGGAATTTTTAATGCTTTAGGCATGTGCGGAAATAGTCAGTACACTTTATATTGCTTCAATAGAAACCTCTCATTATACTAGACCAATTTCAATTACAGTCCAGTGGATCGCCCAAACGGCTTTACGGAAGCGCTGATACATCCTAACATTTGTTTTTATTTTGCATATGCTAAAGACGAGTAAACTCGCCACCGTCTTTTAACTGACTTATAACCCATTTTCTTCCGCAAATAACTAACTTTTGTCTACTTGAAACTTTGATACCCAGGTATATGAATGAAAATAAAATCTAAGAAGATTAAGGGATATAGCTTTTTATTATTAATTCATACATAAATTAAATGAAAGTTGAGATAAGTTTACCAGGAAGATACGACCAACAGGAATTGATTGAACTTGTAATGTATTTTGCAGTCCAATTCGTAACAGATCGTAAACCCGATAATATATTACCATTATCCCAGCAGTTTCATCCGGGTTTCGTGGGTTAAGATAGATAATAGGGTTGTGGGGGGTTTCACATACGTTATAAGTTCCGCTTGATTGTAATTTCAACCATGTGGCATCTCGCCGATAGTGCTACGTTCACGTAGACATTCTTTCATGTTTCTAGGATATCTAGTAATAATGACAATAATTAAGGGGGACCGTACCACGGTGCGGGTAAGAATTTAAAAAAAGATGCAACTACAGGATCATATGATAAAGTATATGCACAAGAGCCCCGATATTTGCACTCAGCAACACTCCTGTGCACTATAAACGTGTGAGCAACTTCCAGTCATATGACCGATGCGGGTGTTAGGCAATCAAAATAGAATTTGCGCCGTTCACAATCCTCAACAGACTCGTTCGCAGCAAAGGTAGTGGGGGATCTTGATAAATTCTCCGGGGAGGCAGGAACGTGGGGAAAATTACATCGAGGCCGACTGATTGGCCTGTAGGGCTTATGGTACTTACATAACGCCAAAACCTAAAGAAAGAAATTCAGTTTGCAAACTTCCTATTGTGGTGAGAGCAGGCTGCTAGCCGATTGGTTGGCACTAATCTACGTTAAGGTCTAGGTCACTAATATGGGCCGTGAGAAAATATGAACAAGACTGAGTCAACAACCAATCACAGCAAAGTTAACGTGGCAAAATATGATTCGCAGATAGAGAACTCTATTTGTCAAGGAATCCCGAAACAACCAATCAGAAGCCTGCGTTTGTCTACCTAACTTCTGATAAACAACCAATCAGATGACTGCGCTTGTCTATAATAATGTAGTTGAAATATGTATAAATACGTGTTGATTTTCATAATAAAACGATCTGTTGCTTCGCCCTTGTCTTCTGTTGTTACATTTGGTGTCGCTGCCTCCAGAAAATGAAGATCCCGTGGCCAGCTGCGTTTGAAGAAGGAGACATAAGGAGCTTCTTACGTGACTTCGAGGCTGTTGCTGAGCTGGTGGGTGTCAAGGAGCAGGCAGCGAAGGCAGTTGTCTTGGGGACGCTGTTGAGAGGCCGAGCGAAGGCTGCATATGACAGCGTAGACAGGTCAAATGGCACAGCGTCTTGGAAGAAATTGGTTGAACGACTAGTGTCCGAGTTTGACAGCGAAACAGACAGACAGCTAGCAATGCAGCAGTTCCGGTCAATGAAGCTTGGACCTGATGGAGACCCGCTAGTGTTGGCGGTGAAACTGACTAATCTACTTCGACGCGCGCTTCCCACTTTAGATGAAGAATCAGAAGCGCAGTTACTGTCTTCCCAATTCATCGAGAGTGTCCCAGACCACATTTCTCAGCGATTACAACTGGTTAACGCAACGCAGCCGATGGATATTAGCGAGCTGGCGAAGGTGACCAGACAGCTGCTGAGCACAACGGTAGCCGCTATAGACCAACCAAAACCAAACGAATATGAGCAGAAAATTGAAGCATTGCAGCGGGAAGTGGCGGCGTTAAAGTTGGCTGATAGAAAAGACCGGTGTTTTGAATGCGGTAAGCCGGGACACTGGAGAAGATACTGCCCAGAAAGGCGAAAAAGAAAAAATTTCAGACGGTATAATGCTTGTTCTTTCTTTCGTATGAACCTAGATTTAGTGGGGGCTATTGAGAAAGGGCTCTGTATTCGAAGTTGCGAGTGAATGATCGAGAAGTAGTATGTTTGATAGATACAGGGGCGGCCGTGTCGTTAATAGATAAGAATTTATGTAAGAGTGTTAGCCCGTGTTCATTGACAGTACAAACAGTAGGCGGGTATGTGTTGCGTATCACGGGTAGATCGAACTGTACGGTCGTTGTTGGTGGCTGCGAGGTGACGTTTCCTTTCATTGTTGTACCCGAACTACAGCGAACGATATTAGGAGCGGATTTTCTGCGTGAGATTGGTGCCATAATCGACACGCAAGCGAACGTGGTGGTCACGAAATACGGGCATATCAACATGTATGAGACCAGCGAGATAGCAGCGATTAAGCTGCCGACGGTACACAATGTGACAGAGTTAATTAGTAAATACGATCATCTGTTCACTGGAGATGGCGACCCATACGGTTATTGCGATAAGGTGAATCATGAAATTCCGTTAAGTGATCCGAAAGTAAGGTCATTTACAACGCGAAGAGTTCCATGTCATCTGGAAGGCGAAGTGGAGCGACAAGTGCAAGAGATGTTAAAAGATGACATTATTGAGGAAGCTGATAGCCCGTACAACTCTCCAGTGCTGTTAGTAAAAAAAGCGAATGGGAAGTATAGATTCTGTGTTGATTTTCGACAGTTAAACAGTATGACAGAGTTAAGACCGTGTGCCATGCCAACAGTGGTAGAAACTTTAGATCGCCTACAAGGTGCGAATGTGTTTTCGGTTCTCGATCTTCGCTCAGGATACTGGCAGATACCGATAAAACAAGGTGATAGAGATAAGACGGCTTTCATCGTGGGTCAGACACAATATCGATTTAAACGCATGCCGTTTGGACTAGCAGGTGCACCGTTTACGTTCAGACGACTGATGAAGCTATTACTTAGGAACTTGAAAAACGTGGAGGTTTATGGTGATGATCTCGTCATATACAGTCAAAACGAAAACGATCACGTCAACCATGTAGAAGCCGTGCTGCGACGCATCGAAGAGTTTGGACTACGCGTCAACAAAACCAAGTCCCAGATAGCCAAAAAGAATGTTACTCTGTTGGGACATAAAGTGGGAAATGGTGAGATTAAACCACTGCCGGAGAAAATTTTGACGATTAAAACGATTCCAGCCCCGAATTCAAAGAGAAAACTGAGACAATTCTTGGGTAGAGCAGCGTTTTATAGCCGCTTCGTGAAGAACTTCAATGAGATAGCAGCCCCTCTATACAGGCTACTAGGTGAGCCAAAGTTTGTTTGGTCGGAAGAATCGCAGAGGACATTCGACAGAATTAAACAGCTGCTCGACCACCAACAAATGACGCTAAAACTACCTGTGCCAGGAAGACAGTTCACAGTGTGCACAGATGCCAGTGACTACGCTATAGGTGCGGTCCTAAGACAGGACGAGGGAATCGTTGAGTATGCCAGTAGGGTTTTGACACTCGCAGAGAGAAAGTATTCAACGATAGAGAAAGAATGTTTAGCAATGGTATGGGCAGTCGACAAATGGAGACCTTATTTACTCGGCCGGCGGTTCCACATCGAAACTGATCATAAGCCGCTACAATTTTTGAAGACAGCGAGAGACCCACGGGGGAAGTTGTCACGGTGGATGTTGCGTCTTCAGGAGTACGATTTTACGATCTCACACGTTCCTGGAAGTGAAAATGTCTTGGCAGATTTGTTATCGAGACCAGAAGATGAGTCTGAGTTGCCCGAGGTCGCTTACGGAGTGCATGCAGTAGAACAAGACCCACTAAGACTTGCACGTAGGCAGAGGTTGGACGATACGCTGAATACAGTAATACAGGTGATCACCAACGGAATAGAAGTGGATCAAACTACGGCGAGTAAGGAGCTAACCACACTACTCAGACAGAGGGATCGACTCAGAGTGAATGCCTACGGGACTCTGACCTGGCGAGAGAACGACGGAAGCTGGCTGGCTGTCATACCTCAATCGTCGCGCCACGACATGATAGAAGAATGTCACCAGCTAGCGCATACAGGCGTGGCCAGAACGACCGATCTCCTAAGACAAAGTATGTACTGGCCAGGTATGAGAGAAGACGTAGCAAGATACGTACTTGGATGTCCACGGTGCCAGCTGATGAAAGGTGACCGGTGTATACGACCACCACTTCAGTCGATTCCAGTTACCGCGATAGGTGACTTGTGGTCCGTAGATGTCATGGGTCCATTTCCTCAGACATCCAATGGTAATCAGTACCTCTTGGTGATGACGGAACACGCGACACGATGGGTAGACGCCGTAGCAATCCCAGACCAACGTGCAAGAACCGTGACAGATGCAGTAGTTAGACACATTGTTGCAGACCACGGCGTACCGAAGACAATACTGACAGACCAAGGTCCCTGTTTCGAGAGTGAAGAGTTTACTTCCCGTTTGCAACAGCTGGGCATCAAGAGGATCAGAACGACCCCATACCATCCACAAACGAATGGCCTAACGGAGAGAAACAACCGTACACTGAAGGAGTGGCTGGCCTCGAAGGGCGGGAACTGGGAAACGGAGCTTCCACTGATTTTACTAACACATCGTGCTACCACTCAGGAAACAACGAAGAAGTCACCCTTCCAACTGATGTATGGTAGAAAACCACGATTACCGGTACACAATGAGACCTGGCCCATGCACCAAAAGTGGAGTACGACGAAATTAAAAGCAGAGAGGAAAGAGGCAGTCAAGAATGTAATACGGAAGCAGCGCAGTGATGTCATGAAGTCTCAGATGAAAGAATTACCTTACTGCATTACCTTTGCAGTCGGGGACCAAGTGAAGTGTAGAGACAGGAGATATACAGTTGGAGGCGGGCTAGGTTCACGGAAACTCCTTCCAAAGTGGGAAGGACCATACACAATCACAAAAAGACGGGGTCAAGTATATACCATCCGAAGAGGTGATAAACAGAAACGAGTTGACGCCAGTCAGCTCCAAAGATGGGTACAGTGGGACAAGCCGGTCAGTAACAATCCTCAACTAGAGGATGTAGCACCCAGAAGGTCGGAACGTCTGCGCATGAAGCTATTTGACGGGGGCACGAGTGTGGTGAGAGCAGGCTGCTAGCCGATTGGTTGGCACTAATCTACGTTAAGGTCTAGGTCACTAATATGGGCCGTGAGAAAATATGAACAAGACTGTTTCAACAACCAATCACAGCAAAGTTAACGTGGCAAAATATGATTCGCAGATAGAGAACTCTATTTGTCAAGGAATCCCGAAACAACCAATCAGAAGCCTGTGTTTGTCTACCTAACTTCTGATAAACAACCAATCAGATGACTGCGCTTGTCTATAATAATGTAGTTGAAATATGTATAAATACGTGTTGATTTTCATAATAAAACGATCTGTTGCTTCGCCCTTGCGACCAGTTTACTGGAAGCTGAAACTACAAAAGCCAATTATGAAATCCTATGAATGCCAATGGGATTATGAGCGACAGACAAACGGGTGAATAATATTGTATCGCCGTGTATTTTATGAGATAAGATTGTTCATTATAGCACTAACTTCAGTCCACAGTGCTCAAATTCTGCCATATATTTGGTTATGCTGTTAACTAAGAACGTTTTTGAGGCTGTCCATTGATGCAGTAGCTTGAAGACTGAGGAAAATAGTCGTTATGAATTGCTGGGTGGAATGACGAAATTCTCATGCCACAGTGATTAAATACATTCCCTTTATTTCCTACTTTTTTGACGGATTCAAACTGGCTGAAAAATCAAGACTCGCTGAAATGAAACTAACTAACTCAGGGTTTTACTTAAAGACAATTAAACAAGGATTCTTATGAAGGTGTGACCTGAAGGATACCTCAAGATAATTCATGCCATAGTAGGGACGATTATATCGGCATTTTCTTTGTTTGAAGTGATACCACCTTTATCCAGTGGGTACCAGTGTGTTTCAATAAATACGCCAAAATACACAATCATTACTTCGTGAAAATTCAGTGACCTCTGAACTTACTACTTTTCTAATCCACTGAGTTGCTCAGATATCAGTGTTAAACAACAGAAGATGCAATGAACTTCAAGAGCACGATGTCACCGATAATATGCAAGTCCTAAAAATTTTTAAATGCGAAATCCATTTAAAAAGCAGATAAAAGCAGATTTTTCAATAAACCGTTATGGCAACAGACGACAACACTACAATGAGTGGAGGTGCGCAATAAAATCACTTTAATGACAGCAATGAGCAGGCAAAATAAACTCTATGCAAACTGTGAACAGAGAAGGACGTGAAATAATTTACTAGGTGTAATACATTTATTCGCTATCTTTTGTCCCTGACAAACTTGGATTCCTTCACAAAAAATTGCAAAATAGTGGGTTTTGCGTCTGTATGGCAATCTTCACAGAAATTTCTGAGAAGGGATTAATATTACAGGCGCTCTGTTTGTGTTTTCAAGGTCGCCCTACGGTCAAGGTAAGGTCCCAGTTACTATGTTGGTAGGTAAGAATTATGGTAAACCTGCAATCATTGAGCTATTTAACGTTTACTATGCTGATATAGTGACATATACTATGCTAATAATAGTAACAGTAAACTTTCTAACTATTTTGCCATTGTTTGACAGTGAAACTATGCGCTGCAACTAGCATTTTCTTCGGGCGCATTGCAGACTTTTTGGGGCAGACTTCGGGCGTATTGCAGACTTTTGGGGACAGACTTAGGGCAAATTGCAGACTTTTTGGGGCAGACTTCGGGACACTGTCCCACGTAAGTAGATCTACCCGAAGTTTTTGCCCCAAAACGTCTGCAATGAGCCCGAAAAAAAATGCTAGCTGGGTGGTTTCTCAGCTTGAGTGGCACTAAATCGAACCTACTGGGTTTGCTTATCAACGTTGCTCCAGCCCTCGCAGGACATATTAAGCATGGACTAGCGTTACTCCAGAGCGAAAAGTTTTGATTCAGCATGCAGCTGTCTTTTTAAGCACGACCTGTGTCATTTCAGAACATAGTGGGTAAATAAGGTCTTCAGTTACCATAAAAAGGCATAATTATTAGAATAAGTTTACAATTGTTGTAAGCTTGGTGGTGTTGCGGTCTAAGTGATAAATCGTATTAATCACCGTTATTCAGGATATGCTATGAACCGGAAATGCTCAGCTGAGAAACGTAGTAATTAAGACACAGATCGGTGTAATTTATAACGGACTCCAAATCGCTCTGATCACGAAACAGTCAACCAAAGTATGCTTTAAACTGTCGCTCTCAACCATTTGAAGGGAAAGTTACTTGATTTATGCTGACCTAGTATGCACAAATCCCACCAGTCATTGAATTGACAACTTAAAAAAGTAGATTAGTTAATACATACATTTATCTATATGTGCTAATTAAGGACATTAAATTTTTAGAAATTGTAGTTAAATTATATTCTCATAGTAATCAAAAATGCATACATCCTATTTTGGACTTAAATGCATCGAAATTGTTGTTGATTTATATTCACTTACTAGACATTCTCATACATCTCAATATACTTTAAACATCAACAATGCATCTAAATAGCGTGTGACTGTCACACTACACTCACACCAAAAAAATTAACACGCCATTATATTATTAGTAAGGTAAGCCCTAAATCATACTGACTAAATTTCCGTGTCAAAATAAAAAGATTACCGCTTCAACTTATATTTTAGACCAATAGGAAGCCAGCTAGCCAACAGCCAATCAAAATCTGCCTATATCTATTTTCGTAAGATGTGGGCCGTATTACCCACTGATCTATTGTGTTTGGATAGTAGCCTTCTCCCGAACGCTCCGCGAGCGTTCAGAATCCTAAAGTCGGTTTGTTTGCTAGGTTTTCTTGCTCTAGTTGTTCTCCCTATCATATAGCACATTGTTGTCATGATGGTCTTTAAGAGTGACAATAAGTTGTTTCAGGTCAACCGCTATAGCTGTGATTCCCCCTTACCCAGTGGTACAAAAATTCTAAATAAATGGGCGAACAATCGGCATGGCTTTTTGTAACAAAAAGTGGTCAGATTTCGGCCACATAACGTGATATTTCCCAATATGAATGAAACCTAACCGATATTTTGCAATTTTGACCATTATATAACCCAAGTTTCACTACTATTGCTGCGTCGGTGGCACAGCGGTTAGGACTCTCGCCGACCATGCACATGGTCCGGGGTTCGAGCCCACGCCGACGCACACCTGATATCTATGGTCGGCCTGCGAAATTTGGGCTACCGATATCCATGCTGAAAATTCCATACTTGTACCAAAAATACAGTGTGGAATCAAGCTGTAAATCGAAAAAAAATTATTGAACCAAGCTTTTCCTATGATTTAACTAATATTTTTCATAAATTTAACCAGTATTTCTCATCATTTGACTACCTCTTTCCGATTTGATTCATTATATAAGCAGTATTTCCTCATTTTTAACACTTGCACCAGGATTCGGATTCAGATGAAAATAGTATACTATCCTATAGGCCTATAGCCCGACCGAAAGCTGCTACCTTGACGTGGTGGTCGGGCTTGAACACCGCAATGACCTAATCAAGCTATACTGACTGAGACTTATGTCTCTTGAGGTCCTACCATGCCAGGCAGGTTGTTTGGATAGCGGTTAAACAAAAAGCAGCTACCCAATCCAACATCATGACCAATACAAAATCACAAAATTTCATGCCGGATCGGCCGTGGCCCGGATTAACAACGACCGCGCTTCCTGCTGCCGTGTCACAGGGCAGGAGTGATAAGTATGCTACTGAGGCACACCAAACAAAAGAGAACGAACCAAAACAGGCCGCGTGTGACCGGCCTCAAGCAGTTGTCCCCTGGGCTCTGCGGTCACGCAACCAACTTCCACGGTGTAGGCAGCCGGGAAGTAACAATCGCCCTCACAATCCGAAACGCACTATAGGCCTATAGGTTCTTGTTGCCTGTGCTAATCCTTGCAACACATATATCTGTCTCCATATATCTAATTCCGCTGTGAAAGCGTTCACCAGTGGAGCTTATACTACTGAATCGGATAAGGAGTTCCAGTGAGGGTATCTACATCTCATGCGTATTTTATTCGTTCGTGGTTTGAACACCTTTTTGGGCTAAGTTAACGTATCATAGCAAAAGTCAAGGTCTTTCAAAAGTTTACTTTCAAGAACCGATTAGACACAGGGAATGCTATGGAATATCATCTCATATCAAGTCATGCCTGCAATTTTGAACTTGGAGAGAACAGATACAGTATCCTACTTATTTACTTGGTATTTTTTCTGCAAACCTACACTGTTAGGTAGGGTTATGACTTTTAAGATTAAGGTTTAGGGTCTGCGGTAAAGGTTAGGATTAAGGTTAAATTTAGAACCAGAAGTTAGGATTATGGTTAAAGTTAGGAGTAGCTTGAAAAATAGTGTCGGGAATATCAATGAATCTCAAAGTACCGTGTGTGCTATTTGGAACGTGGCAACTCGAACTGCTGCACTTCGGTGCCAAGTTCTATGTTGAATCCAGACAGACAGACAGACAAAGTACCATGACCTACAGTCACCTGCATGAATAGGTATATCACACATGGTACGATTTCTCTATAGATCACCTGTGTGTTGACTGAGAGACATTCTTACGACAAATAAGCTACAGCTATACAGTGTAATATCAAGTTTGCAATACTTTTTGGCTATTATAGTTTAACTTTGCCCCTTTTTATGGTAACCTCGTATATGCACCCTAAAGAGAGAGTGTGGAGAGAGAAGATAAGAAAAGTCAATCCCTAGATCATCCTTTAATATATGGCATGCCAAAATTATGTCGCCTGTCCTCCTTCGGTGTGCTGAATGGAAGAGATTTAAATACTCTATCCTCTTGTCATAAGGAAGGTGTGATATACTATTTTGGTTCCTACCCTGTGTACTCTTTCCAAGACATGTGCCTCCTTCTTGAGGTATGGACTCCCCGCTAGCTACGGCCTGCTATATGTTGTGTAGAGTATTTTGAACAGAGACTCATCTAGTCGTATGGAAGCCTTTCGATGTGTCCATAGCATTTGAAATGCCTTATCTGCGGCTAAATTGCAAATCAGGGTTGACAATGATTCCCAAGGTTTGTAGTCCATTAATGTCTGACAGTTCTATATCTCCTAGGGAGGGCGACGTGTAAGATCTCTGATCCAAGTACATCACAGCACTTTTCTTGGAATTAATTTCCAGACTCCAGATGTCCGGCCATTCAGTTAATTTATCCAGATTACTTTGTAAGACTGACCTATCATCACTGTTATTTAGTTTTCCAGATCTTGTATGTTATACTACTATTTATACAATTTACGCGAAATATGCCCACTAGGTCATCATTTAACCATTCTCCACCCACTTTTGTCTGACTGGGGTGTAATCAACATATGCTGGACGTCCTCATTAGCTGTCAAATACAACATTATGTTCTGCTTAAGCGCCAATAGCGCTACTAAAATACAGCTTGTGGCCGGTTCACTTCAAAGATTTCGTGTCAGATTTGACGACCACTTTTGTTGTCAGTCACAATAATCTATATAATATCCCCAACAGATACTTCCTTTTGTCAGTGAAAAACCAACTTTATCGGGTAAAATCACATAGTCAGGAGAAATTAGTATCATGGAAAGGTGAGCAAAACTAGTCATTTATGTCGCAAAAGTTTAGAATCAGTTCAAGTCTGTAAACATATGATGGGGTAGGACTTCGATTGTTTTTATGTGACTGCTTTCGTAAGGATGAGTAATGCCTTATTTAGGCACCTGAAATTTATTGTTCCTTTTTAGGAACATTTAATGATGAGAGAGTTGAGCAAATTGTCTTAGCAGCAATTCTCCTAGTATTCGTAGACAGTTAGGGATCGTCAAACAAGCGAAAGATCAATTAAATGGCCTCGAGCAACCAATCATATGAGACCATAGTAAAAACGTGTTATTTGAAAAAAATATAGTTATCAAAGTAGTAAAAAATAGTGATATAAGGTAGCGACCTCTTATAAGTTCTAAAAGTGTCTCCCATTTCCTCATTAGAGTCCTTAATGTTAGTTGAAACTAGTTTTGGTTCATAAATTGACCAAAATGACTGTATTTCATAGTATTTCGAAGCCCAGTTGTGATACTGGTAATTTCGGTCAGAGGCAATTCGTACTTCGCGGAAAAAGTACTTTCAGCACCGATAAACCTGAAAAAGGTACTATATACCTTCCTGTAAGGACTGTCTACAGCAGCAAACAGGATATCTGTACAAATATTCACCAATGGCAGCCTCACTTCGCTGTCAAGTCATTAATCCACATTGACATATTCTTACATGCCTATAATCCTGACATTACTACGGGCTCATGTGATTGGTTGTCCATTGGTCGTTCACTTTGGTCGTTATAGTTTGATCTAATCAGGATTGCGCTGGTTACTCGTCTGGGTAACCGAAAATTTCGGGCATCCTCATTAATTTCCATTACTTTTCTCAATCTCCCATATTCACCCTTCTTATTTAGATAAATTTAATAAGTATGGGTAGCGGGTATGTCACAAAATAATGGATTAGTAATGTAAGGTAAAGAGAACAACAGAATAGAACACGTGAGAAAATTCATCTAAATATCTTCATTTCCCAATGGCAATGCAGATAGTTGGAGAAAAACTGCAACATAACTACTATTGATTCCGACTTTAAACTGCCTCTGGTAAAATCCCTAGCCGATAAACAGCTTGAAAGATGTTACTTGGCAATCACTTGCTTCTCCATGCATTTGACAATGACTCACAACTCCTGTGATAATGCAACTGCTTGACTGCCCAAACCATTGTGGGTAAAGCAGGATCTGAACCGGCGACAAATGGTTGAAAGTCAAGCACCTAGATCAGTTGAATTGACTCGTACTATCCGGCTGATCGAGTCCTGACACATTAACATATGCAAACCTAACATTTTATGGCACCACATTCAGGGCTGATCACCGTGTTTCCAATCATCCTAAGGGGTGCCAAACAGCACACGGTATCAAAGGTTCTGGGGGGTCAATAGCAAGGCATGTTCAGGTGTCTCAAAATGACATCCCTTATTAAAAGCTGATTTATGCTCTATGCAAAACCGTTCTGCTGAACTCTAGAATAACTTACATCAGATCACTACAAGGCGTAAACAGTCCCACAGATTTGGTAATACTGGAGCACTTTCAGTGACTTCATCTTGGAGGTAAAAGTTTACAGGCATAGAATAGGACTGTTCACAGTTAAATTGTAAAATCGAACTGTGGCTGATAGCTTAGCATTATTTTACTACTGTTGTCTTTATATATGTCGTCTTAAAGTGCGGAGGTCCAAAAGGATGCAATTTTGTGCAAACTTCTACGCTGATTCGTCAATCAGTCAAATGCAAGCTAAATATATGTAAATACGACTCTTTCTGTTCACTCGTTTGGTTTGATTGAAGTGTGTATTGAAACTCGATGCGCCTGATATTAAGTAACATATTTATTCTGTCTCCTTACATTGGCCTTTATATACCGTTTTAATGGTAGGCAAACATAAAGGAATGGATGAAACCTTGACGGAAAACTTTTCTAGTGCTGACTTTGATGCTAAGCTGTTTGTTTCGTATGTCATTGGAGCCAACAAAGTTGCAGATGTTTTATGTAAAACAAATAATCGAATACAAGAGTAAGTGACTAATCTTCACATTTATTGTTTGCATTCACTACATAATTAGTTTTTGTAAGAGCCCAGTGTGCAACTCTCGTTAGTTACAGGCCCTGCATTGTGCAGACAGTGAAGTTTATTTTTGCTTTGTCCCTTGGATTTAGATTTTTTAATCAGGTTATTTCCTTCACGTTCCCCAGTGGAACATAGGGCTTCAAGCCAGTGGCTTGAAGTCTCTGTAGCAGTGTTTATTTTACAGGATGGAGTTTCTAGCCTCATGTCCAATCTTTCCTCTTTACCAGCATTATTTCTGGCTCAGCGAGGTAAATGAGTGCGTCGGCCGGAGATCGAACCCCGGACCATGTGCATGGTCGACGAGTGTCCTAACCGCTATACCACCGACACAATCAGTATTTAATCAGTATTAAATCTTTATTCGAATTTAATTTGAGGCGTCTATTTTTAATTTTTTGATTTCTGTAGCAGCGAAAAGATTACATTTATTTTATCATGGGTCTAAAAGCTCACTTTACGTGGGGCAACATGATAAGTAACTTTGAAATAAATATGTAGTGCCAGACTGGAAAGGCATCAATGGAGAAGTTCATTAGTCGCCATCGATTGAGATGAATTGTATATATTTTACCCACAAGGAACCACAGCCTTCCTCAATGACCTATTAGACCTACAGTAAGGTTAACTCTGAAGAGAAATAGAAGTGATCAAACTGAATAATGACATCAGTTTATGAGGTCACTCACTCCCGGTAATCTAAACGGCATATCTGCAAACAGTAGTCACAAATTCTCCGTGATAAGGCGGTAGAAAATCGTCTTGTCACTTTTACTCAATTTCATCTATTTAGGTTTCACGTGTTTCTTCGGGATAATGAAAAACATTTTAAAAAATCCAATAAAAGCATTCGAAGTTTGCTAGATGACATATTATCAACTTGGTTTAGCTTAGTGGTCAGAAATAAAACGAGTGAACATTTACAATTTTGTATGCAGTCATAGTCTACTATCACTTAGGAGCAATAGTGAAGGCTTGATCAACTTCACTTAACTTCGTACACTCTTCGCGTTAGCGTGTACCCAAGTTGCACATTTAAAGTCCAGTGTACTGCGTAGCAGATTTCTTTGTGGAACCACTTGTGGAACAACCATTAGTGGTCAGTGTTTAGCTGCAACTGCAACCATTTGATGAATGCCAAGCTTGTAGTAAAATAAGTTATTTCAGTGTTTTATTGTAATATGAGAATGCGTCACTTCGTTAAGTACATAGATTTCAAACTTTTATTCACTATGGAATTTTAGCAGTTTTCTTATTTTAAAATTGATTTCTTCCCCCTTTACCACCATAGATTGGGCAATCTTATTCACCAACATGTGGCTGACAATCATGTCGATTTATTCAAGAGAGCTTCGGATATTGATAAGTTGCAAAATGTACTACAGACAGTTGAAGACAAAATTCAAAACTTATCTGTGTCAGTAGCGAAAGTGAAAAAAAGAATAGATTATCCACATGACACATTTTCCTCTGGTGTAACACATTTCAGAAATCTTCACACCACTTGTACCATACTTCGCAATATTTCTCGAATTGCAGCATTAATGAAGCGAATTCAAAGTAAGTGTTTCTTTTGTTTTACAACCTTTCGTCACTTTTATCTTAAAATAGGTAGATCTAAGGATTTATGTCAGTCTTCGATGTATGTGAATGAGGTGGAGTTTTTGTTTAATAATATGAAATGGGAGGGGATTCATGTTTTGGAAGCCTACAGCCGTACTCTAGTACAAGTTCGTGAGGATATGATATCACAGGCATGGAATCTTGTGGATTCGTCATATGAGTCATCCGACCAAACCCAATTAGCTACTGGACTGCAGGTAAACACTTTTTACCGACTCACATCTTTATTTTTCTCTCGTATATAATTGGTAAGTTTGACAAAAATGCACCAATAATATGCTCTTAGTCTATTTGTGCGAGATTCTCAGTTTCAGTTTCAAAAAGCCTTGCTTGTTGTCATTCCTAACTTACAGTGTTAACAATTTTAAGCATTAGCGTGATGTGTATGGATTTCGTTTTCGTAAAATGTACACTTTAAAGATAATCCTATTTATCTAGTAGTATTCAGATGCTTGGTGTTATTATCTGAGTAGATGATTTTCATGGAAATTCATCCTCAAAATTGTGATGATATATATGTATGCATTATATGTGAGACTTAATATGTGTACTTACATCGATACAAATGAGTGACTTACTTCGATTCTGTTGTAAAATTTACTTGCCATATTCTTTATTATGACACCATTCATAATAGATCATCCCTCCTATTTTAAAAAATTTTTTTTATTACTTTACTTTCCCAGTGGAACATAGGGCTTCAGGCTAGAGTTTGGAAGTTTCGGTAGCAGTGGTGTTTATTTTTACGGGATGGGCTTGCTAGCCTCATGCCCAACCCTCCATCTTTACCAATCTTATAACTGGCTTAGCGAGGTAAAGGAGTGCATCGGTCGGGGATTGAACCTCGGACCACATGCGTGGTCGGCGAGTATTCTACCGCTGTGCCACCGACGCACATTCTATAGTCAGTTAGATTCTTTATATTTGATTCATAACCTATTTCCTAATTGTCCTGTTGTTCTAAAACTGTTTAAAAGTCTCAGTTCTTAATCGGGCACAACTTCCAAAAAGACTTCATTTGAAGGAAGTATATTTAAGTAAGTAAGCAAATAAGGTAATTCGTACTCACCGTCTTAACATGGTGGGGGTGTTACTCACAAAAGTGAAAGAGCGAACGAGAATATTTTTGCGCTTACAGCCGGACCAGTGGACATTTAAGTATATCTAGAGAAGCTGAAAAACCCTAATTCTAAACATGTAGTGTACATGGACTCCAGAATCCAAAAGGATAAAGTGGCGTATGAACCTGTTGCAGTCACTGGCACCATAGGACTGTGGCTTCTGACTTTGCCCCACTGCCTTTTGAATTATACTTCAAGTCAGGGCTCAGAAGTGCCCCCTGAGATCACCACCTGATTAAGTGTGGGTGCCTGGGCAATAACCCACCCCTCGCACAAACTATGCGACTCCTTGTGGCCCATATCTTGGTGCCGATGATGTGTCATGTTTATTAAATAATAAATTCTGGTTACTTACTTGTTACCCCACCGATTTTAATATTGCCATAATGGATGCACTCTAGAAACCATATTTCATACTTCAAACATTTTCTTCAGTACACGTTTGCAGAGTTTGTTTCAAGTAAAATAGATCTATGGAAAACATGTGTTTGCCCTTTGTAGCAGAGTTTTAGTACTCATGATACACCGAATTCCACTAACTCACCCAGTAATCCTCATTGTAATACAAACAAATTTGTATGATGACTTTTTAGACCATAAATTGCCAAATGCTGTTTTTTATACGCTAAATATCGACACCCGTCCAATGAAAGTCATCCTTTGGAGATTTCTCTTCATTTTACTTTTTAACTGTTAAACCGAGTGTTTTAAAGTTATCCCGCGGTGAAGTACTATTTTATTCAATATTGTCTTTTTTACTAACCATTAATGTAAAAAATTGTTTGAGTTGTTCACCTTTTGCAATATGTTTGCTGAACTATGCTTGTGGAGAATTCTGTGAAATTTTAACCGAAATTAATCCATTAATCTTTAATGTAGGGTAATGTTTAATTTTAACCAGGTAAAAGTTCTTTTCACCTGTTTCACTAAGTATCGTAGTTTGAGATTTGTACGGTGTTTTTCACGAGTTATTCACAATACTAAGGTTAACATTGATTTCGAAAATTTTTTTTTCTAGGTTTTCCACAATTTAAATATGTTAATGGATGTGGTTCATGAATTGGCAAGTCGATGGAAATCTGAATTTGATTCAGTTCTATCAACCTCCGTTGATATTGACTCATTAACCCAACGCATGCGAACACGCCAGCAAATTCAACAAGGAACTACCGGTCCAGGTAAAATCAATCTTCATTTCAAGCTTGTTTTATGAAAGTTATATATTTAGAAAATTGTGTATGTGTGTGTGATTAATAACCTCATTTATTTTTACTGCCAAATTTCACAGCTGTGTGCTTTGAAAGATATTTCATCACTTGGTAACCAACACTACTCTACATCTATTAGTCGTACACTCGGATTCCGTAACTATTATCTTTCAGATTAATTTTTAAATTTCTTATTAAGTGTTGGTTTGCAGGGATTTGATTGGTTACAGATTTGATCATGAGAGGACATTTGTTAAAGTACCATTGAAAGACAAGGAAGTGCTGGGCGGTTGTCTCGTCCTAGTTTGAAGCTTTTCAAGAGTATACAACTCACCGGCGTTCGAAACCAAAACCTTCAGATTACAAGGTGAGCTTGTAGACCATTTAGTCACTGAGATCCAATTCAATAGCTCACAGATTCCGGTTTCTACCCATTCGTGACATATTTAGCATAACCGTTGACCAGTGTTATAGGCAAGTAGCTGTTCTCTTGCCTAACTCAGTAGACCTCTCCAGCTACGACTTTTCACTGGAACTCTAAGCAACCTCCTGTATGTAGAGTCCGACCGAAAGCTGCTACCTTGACGTGGTGGTCGGGCTTGAACACCGCAATGACCTAATCAAGCTATACTGGCTGAGACTTATGTCTCTTGAGGTTCTACCATGCCAGGCAGGTTGTTTGGATAGCGGTTAAACAAAAAGCAGCTACCCCATCCAATACCATGATTCAAACAAATTCACAAAATTTCATGCCGGATCGGCCGTGGCCCGGATTAACAACGACCGCGCTTCCTGCTGCCGTGTCACAGGGCAGGAGTGATAAGTATGCTACTGAGGCACACCAAACAAAAGAGAACAAACCAAAACAGGCCGCGTGTGACCGGCCTCAAGCAGTTGTCCCCTGGGCTCTGCGGTCACGCAACCAACTTCCACGTGTGGGCAGCCGGGAAGTAACAAACGCCTCACAATCCGAAATGTACACAAAAAGTCGCTTGTGAGCATCAGATTAATTGTTAAGTGTTGGTTTGAAGGGATTTGATTAGTCACAGGTTTGATCACAAGCTGATATTAATTAGAAAACCTTTGGTAAACCAGGGAGTACTGGATAGTTTGAGACTCTTCAGCAGTATGCACCCACCGGGGTTCAAATCTAGGTAAGAGAACTGTAACTCGCCTATCACACTGACTGGCAGTTGCGCTAAATATCGCGAATCGGCAGGAGTTGGAATTCATGAACCATTGGATCTAGTTCCAGTGGCTGAATGGTCTACGAGTTCGTCTTGTAACCTGAAAATCCCGGTTTAGAACCCCGGTGGGTGTGTACTGTTGAAGAGTCGCAAACTAGGATAAGTCTGTCTGTCCAGTACTCTCTGGTTATAAGTTTATGCTGAGTAGTAGGCCGAAGTGACTGCTTTTATGCGCATATAAAAATATCTGATGCATCAACTTTAAGTCCAATTAGCCTAACTGAAATGCATTTGGTTATTAACAATCTACTACAAATTTTATACTCAGTTTGTCTGTCTATCTGTTTTCGACATAGAACTTGCACCGATGTGCGGAAGTTCAAGTTGCCACACTCCCTCCTTGTAGCACACAAAGCAACACAAGAAAGTAGAAGAAATGCATAATACAGACAGTAAACAGAGGTGTGAGACAAAAGAATAGTAGTAACGAAGAACAATGTAGTTTCATTGGAAATCATAAGTCACAAGGAGTGGATTCATCTGCGCTACCCATTGAGAACGGTTTTGAGCCATGTCACCAATTGTCTCCAGCCTCCATTGGTTTTTACCGTCCCGGTGACCCCAACCAGTCAGGAGGTCTGCACCTTCCTACGGGGCTGGCTTAAACTAACTGTTGTAGATTTCATTGACTGGTGCCATGTTTTGGTTTGACCGTCTCTAGCTCTTTCCCAGCCTGACCCTATGTCAGCTGACATTGCCCCCATTGTCGAGGAAGGCGATGGCTAGGCTAGGCATGTTTAACACATATCTTAACCATCTCAGTCGATATAATTTCACAGCCTCTTCGATTGATTTCCCCTCCTTACCTAGCACTCGACAGAGGCCTAACCTCAATATTGTTCACCTTATTATACCACTTCACACGGGAGATAGAGCGCAGGCACCTATGATCAAAGACAGCTAGCCAGTCTTTTCATGTCTTCCACTCTCAATGGCCACGCCTCGCTCACAGCCATAAAGGAGGACGGAGCGGACTGATGAGCAGTACACCCGCCCTTTGGTCGATAGCCGGATATCACGTCTCCGCCACAGACGGAGTAAACTGGCATATGAAAAACTAGCCTTCTGTATCCGTGCTGAGATTTCGTCGGAAATCAACCCGTTGGGGCTAATGGTAATTCCGGAATAAGTGAAGCGGTCAACCAGCTCTACCACATCACTTCCTATTTTTAAACTGGGGGTCAGTGTAGTCCAGTCCTGTAACATCATCTTACATTTGGCGGGAGCGAATCACATGCCAAACACTCGTAGATTGCATCTTAAGGTGTTTAGAACACTCTGCATCTTTTTAGCGTCCTCGCCTAGAAGGACTATATCATCTGCATATTCTGAGTCAACGAGATTATTCCCCGGTAGCAAGTCAATCCCTGAGTCTCTGAAGTGAGTTAGGGTTAATTCCATTAGTACATCTATGATGGAATTGAATAGAAATGGGATAATGGGCATCTCTGACGGAAACCACTAATCGTCACTAGTTCAGATGACAACTCGCCGTATACCCTCACCTGGCTCCATGAGTTCGAGGAGATTGCCTTGGTCAGTGCAATGTATTTTCTCGGCATACCCTTTACAGCCAAGCATCGCCAGAGAACCTCTCGGTCGACAGAATCGAATTCCGCCTTTAGGTCAAGAAATGTAATGATTGTTGGACCCCGATAGGAATGCCTATGTTCTAGAATCTGTCGGAGGGTGAAGATATGATCAATACACCCTCTTCCTGGTCTAAAGCCTGCCTGGCTCTCTCGTGTTTGTGCCTCCCGAGTGCCACTTAGTCTACGCATGAATATTGAGCCTAGGACTTTAGATACTATATTAGTCAAGCTAATCCCTCTGCGATTATCACAGGAAGACTTGTCTCCCTTCGTGTATATGGGGATAATCAGTGGCTTACACCAACCTGACAGAACTTCTTCTGATTTCCAGACACTGCCTTATACTCAGTTTGTCTTTGTCTTGGAACTAATTAAACTGAGTATAGTCAGTTTAAAATTGGTTTTAAGACAAATATGTTGAATTCTCATGATAAAAGCACTTTTTGAAAAAGTTGTGACTCAATATATCTTATTTCGAATACTTATTTCTGTGGGAAATCCAAAGAAAGTTGATGAAGTTGTGTTCTGTTCACTGCACTATATATGCTAAGGTGTGTTGTCTTTGAATAGATGTGTCCAACTATTGATAAGCTAATACAATGTGACACAGCGCCATGTTAATGCAATCGTGCATAACTAGATACACTTTCGTCAACACCGATGATTTAATGAATAGGAAGGATATTTCAGAAACTTACGTTTTTGTGTGCTTCGTTTTAAATGCTAAGCGTATCTGAGGATATGGAGAAGTGTACAACAGGAGCTTTGAACGTCATTCCCAAGTAATGTTTTTAATAGACTGTATCAATTATTAATTGGCTTCTAGTCTTTTGTTGTAAGGTGCAAATATTGTTTACTTTTTTCCACAGGTAGAGCTTCATTGTCTGCAGTTGGTGGTCAAGCCGCTGCTTTTCATGTAGCCGTATGGACAAGTTTAGACGGTACTATTGATAAAATGGAACAACTTATTTCACGTAGTCGTTTACTCGGCATGGCTTTAATGAAACAACGTGAAACATATGGAGATGTGTGTATGACAAATATACAACGTTTAGATCAAAATATTTCTGAATTATTTCCTAGTTTAGCTGAATTACTTATCCATGAAATGCTCACGGATTGGCAAAATTCTAAAAAATCTGAAAAATATTCCTCTGTTCTGCTTATTTTTGCATCTGTAAATTTTAAAGAAACCCTAAATAATCAAGGTATGCTTGTGTTTTTTTTTAAATTTTTGGCTCTTTCGCATAACTTTGTTGGCATATTTTCTTCCGGCAACAGAAATTAACTTAATAAATTCAATAAATATGTAAACAGTAGTCATGATGTGATTGAGTCATGCAAAAGAGGTGTCTATTTCCAAACTAAGCTTTTCGTATTCGAATTATATAAAGTATGAGACTACGTTTGAAATCTCATTGGTAGTTTAGCTTTTATCAATTCTACAAAACAAAGGTGGATTATTTAAAACAATTAGTTCCTTTAGTGAATTTACTGTTATACCCTTAGGTCCCGGATGGAATATAAGGCTTCTTCAACAGCACGTCTCTATTTTATCTTATTCCCTACAGTCCTCTTTAGCTTGCCCCACGATTGCCCACGTAAGCTTTTATATTCTCCATACAGGACTTCCTCCACTTTACGTTCGAACCTACATCCAACTCATCGTTTCGTGTTCGAGTTCCACTCGAGGGACAGCCGCTCAATGTTACTCAGCGGTCTTCTCAGCATGTGTCCGACCCGTCTTCGTTTTCTCCCACATATTTGTGGAATAATAGATTCTTGGTTGGTTCCTTCCGAGAATTTCTTGTTGCTAATTGTTTCTGGCCTCCCACCCGATCTTCCATATGGGACCAGCGAGTGAAGCCGTTGATAAAAGTCTGCAGTAGGCTGTCAGAAATGCTTTGTGTGACGCGTGAGCCAAGTTTCTGACCCATATAGAACAACTGACTTGACATTAGTGTTGAAAATATGGATTTTGTTCTCCATACTGACTGCACTAGATTTCTAAACTGATTTCAGCGTGATGAACGTCTACCTCGCCATTCTGGTTTGATTCTGGTTCTGACATCCTCATTCGTGTTGTTGCCTGTAGTTGAAATTATGCGGCCTAGATAAATGGAAGATGTGATCTCTCTCAAATTCCTCCCGTTTATAGTGAATGGTGCTTTTTGTTGTTGATTGGTTGGTTATCTTCATCACCTCTGTTTTCTTTATTTTCACTTGAAGTCCTGTCTTTGGTGCTTCTTCTGCCAACTTGTCGGTTTTCGCTCGTAAGTCTCAGAGTTTACGCGACAGTGGACATAAATCGTCCGCGAAGCTCAAATCTTCTAGTGTCTTCTTATCGATCCAATGTTTTCCTGTCTTCTCGCTTGTAACAGTTTGCCGCATAGTGAATTTGAACATTTTGATTAGAAGACGCAGTTTGTCAAATAAACTCCAAAGATAAATTAGTCTGAATGTGATGTTTTGCCAAAAGAATTCAGTTAATCACTAGTAACGGCATGTAATGGGAACCATATTATATTAACCAGTCTTTAAAACGCTATGAGTCATCTGGCTGGAAAGCATTGGCAGTGACTTTTGTTTTTGTTAGCTTCAAGTAAACTAATGTTTTCATTGAGATTCAAACCTGCACTGCTTCAGTACCCAAGTCACATACTGTGTCACTACACAATTCAGTTCACGAGTGATCTTCTGTAAGACTGGTCTATTCATGCGAATTCCTCGTAGTGTGATAATCAAAAAGTATCTACTATATACCACGTGGTCGATGTCTAACCAGCGGGTCACGGTTTCAAACCCCATCTCACCCACCGAAGTTTGGGCGATTGAGTATTGTCACTAGTCCTCACACAATATATGTAGCTCATTGCCGACTACAGGAAATTGCAAATGGCTGTTGATTAACATTTCACTTTCATTTCATCACTTGACGCAGCGTTATGGTTAGGGATACAAATGTACACTGATTAGTAATAAATCAATCCTTGATAGCCAAGTGACCTTTGAACTTTTCTTAACTAATTATTTGTTATCTTATTACATTTTTTTCTTTTTGAGTCATGGTGTATTTCGATGTGAAATATTCAAGAATGGCCAATCAGATTTACTTGGAAGACAGCCGACATCTGAGCTTAACAAGCTACCGAATGTTATAATTACGTAAAATATTGCGATTTTGTTGGCTAGGTAACAGCATTTCTGTTTTTATTTAGTTTTTACACCTCAACTACCTAATACTGGACTTTAAGCCACACTTATATGGGGGCTAATGATACTACCCAGCTGCAGTAGGTGAAGTGGGACTCGGACCCTGGACCCATTGACTCAAAGTCGAGTGCTTAAGTTAGTGTGCCATATCGCAACATTTCTTTTTTCAGTCGTACAAAATAACATGTTTAAGCATATGTACTGTATAAACCTCGAATTATTTTCCTTTTGTAGAAAATGATACGGATCTTTCTTCTGCGAATGATTTCTTATCTCATAAGCTGATAGACGGTAATCGTACAGCAGTTCGTAATGCTTTACTTAAAAATGAAGGATTTCTTGGCTGGGCAGCAGATCGATTTGCTGTTAAACTTTCTAGCATTTCAAATCAATCACCAGTAATCAAGGAAGTACTTGAAGGAGAGTATCCCAAACTGTTGAAATTAATATTAGATTTGGAACGTCGTGTGTCTAATACACTGTCGAGTGAATTTAATGGGAATTATGAATTCGATCGACATACCACATCTGTTCGAAATATCTCTGAACTTCCTAAATGTTTAGTTCGTGCTTTACAACCATTTGAAACAGCTTATTTATCTCGAAGTGTATCTCGACTATTCGATCGGGTAACTTTATCCTTCTCCACGTCAACGACAGCTGGACCAGATAATAATGAATTAAATGATATTATACAGACTGCTGTAAATGAATTAGCCTATGCTACTGTTCATCATGATCTCTTGTTCAAGGTAAGAGGCTGTTTATCTACCTACAGCTGAAATAACACTGACTAGTTTTTTTTTCGTATTTTTTGTTGTTGGTTAAACTGTGCGTTAGGCTGATACTAAGTAAATGTAACCATCCTGTTTAAAAGGTAGTCTAAACTAGCGATTTCCAGATTACTTATCCTGTGGTTTTCTAAATTAGGTTACTGAAGTTGATTATTCAACTGGCAGTAGTCCCACTTCATGATACAAATGTTACTTGATGAATGGAAATACGTTTGTTATTCGCTGTTATCTTGTGTCAGTTGAAGTCTGAGTACAGTGTTTTTTTTCGGAACAATGACTTATTGGTTGACTATTTATGTGGAATTGTGTGAGTGGTGATCACCTCCCAGCTACCCAGATCGTTGCACTTAATTTCCTTTTGGAATAAATGAAACAGAAGGAGCATCAGTTTTACGTGACGACCGAGCCCAGGAGACAACTGCTGGAGGCTGGTCACACACATAACCTGTTTGAGTTGGTTTTTGAAGTTGTGTACGTATTAAGATCTTACAGCCGGCTGCGGACCACCGCTAGGTAAGTCAGGATGTGGAATTTTCGGCCCCGACCTTTTATAGCCCCCCCTCCCCGAAGCAGAGAGGCAGCATAGCTACTCTGGTGGTCATCTGAGGGAAACAGCTTACTTATGTTACACCCCTATTCGCCAGCAACACGACTTCGCCTACAGGTTCCCAACATTCTATAAACGACTTATACTATGATGAAAGTTACTTTTAACCTAACCACTATCCAAATAATCCTTCTGGCATAGTAGGATCTGCAGGAATATTAATTCCAGCCAGTATAGCTCGTCCGGTCATTGCGATTTGTAAGTTTGACCATCACATCAAGGTAGCAGCTATCAGTCAAGGGCTGACTATTAGAATATTGAGCACTTTATTTTTGGTAGACATTTGATTTCAGTAGATTTTTTGACATGCATAGTGTTATTACTGACTAGCCTGCTCTAAACGTGAAAGACAGGTTCAATATATCAATAAAATATTTTGAAGTCAATAGTGAGTAGTAAATCTATTGAGTACAATTTCACCACTTTTGTCTAATGTCCTCTTTGTCCTTCACCTCTTATTGTCATTGTCAGTGTTTTTTAACATTATATAGTACCTCATTCATTTAGTTTTCCTTTATTTTTATCTAATTCCCTGTTGATTAGTGTGCTATAAGCGACAAAGTAAAGTTTAATATGCTAACAAATACTAAGTGTTCCTATTGTTGGGCATGAGGCTAGCAACCCCCATCCTGTAAAAATAAACACCACTGATACCGAAATTTCAAACCCCTAGCCTGAAGCCCCATGTTCCACTGGAAACGTAAAGGAATAAAATATAAAAAAGGATTCCCGTAAAAGAGCTAGCGGCGGTCAAACCGAAACATTGCATCAGTCAATGTACTCCACAACAGTTAGTTTTAGGCAGCCATGTAGGAAGGTGTAGACTTGCTGGTTGGGGTCCTCGGGATGGTAATTACCAATGGCTGGAGACAATCAGTGACATGGCTCAAAATCGTTTCAATGACTGGCGCAGATGCATCCACTTCTTGTGGCTTATAATTTCCAATAAAACTATATTGTTCTTCGTGATTACTATTTCTTTCGTCTCACACCTCTGTTTACTGTCTCTATTATGCATTTCTTCTGTTCCATTGTGTACTGCATGGAGTGTGGCGACTTGAACTGCCGCACATATGTGCAGAGTTCTATGTGGGAAACAGACAGATAGATAGACATTAAAACCAACATATGTAGACAATTGTGTCAGTGTAATATTGACAACTTGATTGCATATGATACATTTTTTTAAGAAAAAAATTATTTCCATATAAACAGTTGTTTATTAAAATTCATTTACTTCTTTATTTTATCACCTATAGGTTTCTCGTAACTTAGATAAACTGATTGCTTTGTTTGCAACAAAAACTGAAGCTCTAGTTACAACTGGTGTCAGTGCAACTCAACTAGTTGATTGTCAAACACCTGGACAACAGAATAATATTCATTTAATTAATTTATTATGCCAATTTGGAGCACAGTTACAATTGACTGTGAGTAAACGATTAAACAATCTAAATGTTTTGTCAGTACCAAATAATCAAACTAATCAAAAGTTATCCAATTGGAATGGTGCGTCTAGCCAGACTACTACTCCTGTAGTCAAGAATCCAGTACAATTAATTTCTGAATCCACTGCTAATCATTTAAATAGTTTATGCTCATCAATATTAGATCCATTACTCCAGGCTGTATGCAAAACAATCGATGATATTCTAAGTACTATGCATAATGAATATGATTCTTATCAGAATATATCATTGAATGAAAGCTGGAAACCAAAATATCTACAAAATTTGCAGGTTAGTCAATATATAATTGATAATTATCCTTGTTTTTATTTAATTGGTGGATGGTGACTAGCAGTGGAATCCAGGATGCACATTTCGTCCTATTTTGGGACTCGTCATCTGGATGTACCTGCATTTCTCAGTGAGTGATGATGTTCCCACCGAGGCTCGAACCCAGTGCCCACAGTTTCAAACGCCAAAGCATAATCTACTAGACCAATTGGGCCACGCGAGCCACCTCTTGTGCAACGGATCATATTAATTTAATTTAATTTTTGATTTTCCCGTCGATTGATTGGACCAAAGTGCTCGGTCTCAGGCTGACATGTCGGCTTCTTGTGCAGATGCTTCGACGATGTCTGGGCATTTAATTAGTATCTGCACAAGAAGCCGACATGTCAACGTGAGACCGAGCACTTCGGTCCAATCAATCGACGGGAAAATCAAAAATTCGATTAAATATATATCCTTGTTTTTACCTACTCTTTTTTGATGCTATTTCATAACTCTTCTGAAAGACGTCGTTTTTCTTTTTTGGTTGATGGTGGCTAGCAGTAAGGTCGAGTATGTTCGCTCCTGCTTGTTTTAGACTCCTGTTGGGTGTACCTATGTGTCCAGGAAATGATCGCTTTATCACTAAGACTTCAACCCTGCACTGATTTTTTCAAAAGATACAGTGTTATCCACTAGACCAATGAGCTATACAGCCTTGATGAAGAGTCCGTCCTAGGAGTCAAGGGAATCAATCAGCGGGCGATTCAAAATATGAGTAATGTCAACAAATAATATTTCTATTGATAAGTGTTCACACGAATTGAAGTATTTCGTTATCACTGTAACAATGTAGCTTCAAGTATGTATATATTTTGTCATTCATAACTTGACTTTAGTAGTCATCCATCTGTCTCAGTGTTGCGTATTTGAAGATTCTTTAGGTCGTATATTAAGACCAATACTATCTTATACACGTGTCTTAATACGGTTTTTGATACAATTTTCATTTGCCTTTGCTGACCATTTGTACTCTAATACTCGTAACTGTAAGGGGTGGAGAAGAAGGTATTGGTAACAATTTTTAGCACAAATGAATTTAGGATACCAGCAATACTTCCGTACAAGGAAGAAGCCTTTAAAACCTTACGGAGAATTCTTAACAATGCAGGGATAAAAGTGGCATTCCAATCCCATTAAAAGAAAACAACTTAGTTTATCTAATACCCTGTCTGTGATGATTGTCAGGTCAAATACATAGGTCAAACTAGTAGAACAGGGGCAGTCAGACTAGCTGAGCATAAAAACCTAGCAAAATCTAGACTGGTTGACCCGAATAAGATAAGGAATCTAGAGAATAGTTCAGCTATACCACCCACTAAATGCAATTACACACAACCATACAATAGGATGTGGCATAAGATGACAGTGTTAAAATCTAATGTAACAGGATGGAGAGAGAGGGAGATTGATAACGAATGCTTTATTTATCGACACAACTGAAAGCACGTGTAGTAGAAATGATTCAGCATCTGTCCCCGTGGACATCTGGAAAACTCTCCTGCCCCCTACGAAGAATAGGAAGGAATAAAGAAAACTGTAAAGCTGAAGTTTCGAAGTTGTTTGGTTATAACTGATATGATTATGAACAATAAATTGTTTTCGAAACTTTGTCATCCAGTAAGTAAATACTGTTTCACACTGTTTGTGGTATATCTAATAAACAAATTAATATGGAATTATGTTTACATTACCCTGATATTTAAAGTTAATTCTTTTCAAACTTATCATGTATGTTTATATTCATCTTCTTTTGGTATTTCAGGATTTCACTGCTCGAGTTCGCCAGCAATATTTATCTGATCTTTCACAACCACCGAAATTTGTTAATATGATGCCTAATATATTTGCACAATCAGAATGCTATATATGTGGTGAATTTGCTCTACAAAATTCATTGAAATCAATTCTTGATATGTGTATAAATAATTTCCTGTGGCGATCAACATTAATTCGTTCGTCTAAAGAGTCAATACGTCTTCGTCTGGCTGCTGATTGTAAAGAATTTGAATTGGCTTTAATACCATTATGTTCGCCTAATTATGGTTATACACTGCAAAAGTTAGTCCCAGAATCTTATGGATATTTAAGAGAATTCCCGACTATTTTATCTTGTGAAGATGAAAAATTAGTTCAGGTAGGTTCCTTGCACATATGAGGTCTTTCTTGTCATATCATTAGTACAAAATCTTTTATGTTATATCATTGGTACATTGTGGGCACGAAAAGATGTGCCACACAAAATTCAATATTTTGTACTCGAACATCCAAACTGAAACAGGTGGTTGTCTTAAGGAATATCCCCATGAGGCTTTGACTTGAATTCTGATCCACAAGGCTGGGGAGCCAGAGTTGGTGTAACAGCAGAAGACAAGGGCCAGGCAACAGATCGTTTATTAAGGAAATCAACACATATTTATAGATTTGCATGCGCATATTATAGATTACTGTTGGTAGAAAAACGCAATCTTCTGATTGGTTGTTTGTCACAGAAAGTTAACCTTGCGTCTCTTTGTGGCTGTTTCTTAAATGTCAGATCATCTGTATGTTAACTGTATCCGCCTACGCAAAGCCTTTGTTCTCATTTTTCTCACTACCGATATTGGGGACATAAACATTGACGTAAATTACTGTCCACCAATTTTGGCTAACAACCAGCTCTCACCACATTAGGAGCTACGTTACCATGGTTTCCAGTGACCAAGACAGGATGACACGCCTTTTTATCCGTACACCATAGCTTTGGAATCAGGGTTTTCCAGCTCCCTTGGGTAGACCAGCAGTTCCAACAGGTCTGGTTGTAAGCACCAGACGTTCACTTTCGCCGTTCCGCCTTTTTTGATGAACACCGCCGCCGCGTGAAGGCAGTGAATAAGACTTACCTGTCAGAGGTTATGGATGCGTGGTCACATGACAGCATTTTGAGAGGAAGACCGAAGTCTTCACTTCCAGCCGTCGTTTATGTAGGTAGTTCAAAAGTGAGGACATAGAACATGTTTCATAGACTTAAATCACTTTGACACTATAATTAAATGTATCTAAAACATTTAAACTGATGGCGTATTACCATGTACTGTGTGATGTAGTGTATACAAAGTGAATATCAAACCTCAGCTTAAAGTTAATCTTCAACATCACATCAATGATACTATTCTTATCAAATACATGAGCATCAAATTTATTCACATGAAAGTAATTACTTCAAATTTGTATTAAAGTAAGTAGTTCCCTTTACTAATTTTGACTAAACAGTAAGAAAGAAGACGTAGTCTATCTAAAACGTGTTGCGTATTCGCGCAACACATCTTGGACATTCTGATTATACATGTACTTGTCATACATATTTATATATATTTATAAAATAGCATATCATCAATACACGCAGAACTACTCATAACCCACCGACAACACGATGGGTCGATAAGACGATTTGTCTACAGTTAGCCCACCTGGATGAAAGTGTATGTAGATTACCGCAGTTTATGTCCACTTCAGCATAAAAAGACATTACATTTATTCCCCTTAATGAATTTGAACAAAGCAAGAACTACAGTTTTAGCAGAATAAAATGCTACCATCTTTTATTTCGTTGCCTTCTCGTCAGCTGCTTACATGGCAAAGACATTATTAAATATATCTACAACAACAATTTTAACATACTTGCACAGAGTTCAGTTTAAACAAAAATCAATCGATCAATATACGCATACACTAAAAATATATACATATATAATATGCAATATTAACCACTATTCCGAACAATAATAATCAAACACAATGGAAACTTTTAGCATTTCACATTCGGAGGAAAGAGAGGTGAAATTATCCAGTTACCAGGGCAAAAAAGTCAATTTATCGAAAGCCCACATGGAAAGGACAATACTTGCATTTTAATAGCTTTTGTCCACATAGCTTTAAACGTGGTCTAGTCAAAACTTTGTACTATAGAGCGAGGAGAATATGCTCTACAGAGAAACTAGAGGAGGAGTTTGAGTTCCTTGAAAATATATTGAAAAGAAATGGTTATCCTCAAAGGTTCATCAACAAGTATGGAAGATCTGAAGTCACAAAAGTAAAACAAATCACAGTGGGAAAAAAGCCAGTCTACCTTCAGCTTGATTATAAAGGTGAAAATATTGCAGCGATGGTCAACAGAAGGCTGAGTACATCACTAGCCATAGCGTATCCTGCAGCTAAGCTCGTTCCTGTCTATCGAACAACTTGCTCTTTGGTGCAATCAAAAATCGATAGATATCCTTCTCATGTTACCTCCAACTGTGTATACAAATTTACATGTATCTGCGGGAGCAGTTACATTGGAAGGACAGAAAGAAGGGCATATCTACGATTTTCTGAACATGTACCAAAAAGCTTAAAAGTCTAGAGGGAACAAATGCTTTAAACAGTGCCATCACCAGGCATCTTCTCGACACGGTCATGAGGTGGACGTCGAAAAGTCGTTCAAAATTATCAATAAGCAAAATAGCTCAATTCTCCTTACGTTTGCTGAAGCCATTTCCATCAAGCGCCTGAAACCTGATTTATGCGCCCAGAAAGAAGCGGTTATCAGCCTTTCTTTGCCCTGGTAACTGGATAATTTCACCTCTCTTTCCTCCGAATGTGAAATGCTAAAAGTTTCCATTGTGTTTGATTATTATTGTTCGGAATAGTGGTTAATATTGCATATTTATATATGTATATATTTTTAGTGTATGCATATATTGATCGATTGATTTTTGTTTAAACTGAACTCTGTGCAAGTATGTTAAAATTGTTGTTGTAGATATATTTAATAATGTCTTTGCCATGTAAGCAGCTGACGAGAAGGCAACGAAATAAAAGATGGTAGCATTTTATTCTGCTAAAACTGTAGTTCTTGTTTTGTTCAAAAAGACATTAGTCAAGTGCAAGTTTAGATGTATTTAGTAAATATACACGGGGGATACCACTAAAGAAGAACGCAAAATCTCACCAAAATATTATTGGATTATTACTATTCTCTGAAATTGATTTAACGCTACAGAAGCGTCAAACAAAGGGCTTCATCAGTCTAATCAGCTCCCGAAAAGGATATTTATATATCTTCACCGTTCAACAGTGATTATTAACGTCTATTCACTAAACAAAGACTCAGAGAGGCACTCAACCGAACTTACTATACAGCTTAACTCATTTCCATAGAGAAGACGAAAATTATGTTGTTGTGTAAACACTCATAGCATCCGAATCATAGTGTCACATCTCATTGTGTTCACTAATTCACACGCATGCGTAGTCACACATATATAGGGGGACCCAGTGCTCTTTGCAGTTCAGGGCTACAGAACACATTCCCTAGTGGTTGTAAAGACAATAAAATAGCCTGATTTAATTAATCCTCGAAAGGGATGTCTAACGTCATCTGTCGCAAAACCACATTATGGAGACTGCTCATAAGTATTTTCTTTAAACTCATACAGTGAAAAACTTAAATCTATTGTGTGTTCAAAAATGGATTTGTTATTACTTCGAATCTACTTTTTTTCCTTCACGTTCCCTGTGGAACATAGGGCTTCGAGCTATAGTGGTTTGAAGTTTCTGCAGCAGTGTTTATTTTACAGGATGGGGTTGCTAGCCTCATGCCCAACCTTCCCTCTTTACCAACATTATTTCTTGCTCAGCGAGGTAAATGAGTGCGTTGGCGGCCGGGGATTGAACCCCGGACCACGAGCGTGGTCGGCGAGCGTCCTAACCGCTGTGCCACCGACGCATTCCAATATACTTTGGTAATTCAATTTTAAAACCAAGATTTAATTTACTTAAGAATATTTCCACTCCGTGTTTTCCCACCTCGCTTAACTACCGATTATGCTTATCGTTTGCTTGTAAGCATTTTGACCTATCTTGGTAAAATTTGATCCTTTATGCTCAATGGCCTTTTATATAAATGTGTATGACAAGTACGTGGGTGATCAGAATATCTGAAGTGTATTGTGTAAATACACTGTACGTTTCAAACAGGTTATATCTTTTTGTATTGTCAAAATTCGTACTATTTTGGCTTTCTTGCACAATGAAACAGATGAATAGATCAGTGTAAAACCGCTGATAAAAGCGCATCAGAAAACAATACACCAGAAAGAATAAAAACCTAATCAAATTTGCAAATAGTAAATTCGATTTAAAGTGTTACCAGTTCGCCCAAGTAGCTAGCTAGAAATTGGGTGACTTGAACCGATTCGGCCCTCTGAATTAAGTCAAACGGGGCACACCGCTGATGAGTTCAGCCCGGAACAAACGAAACATTTTTGGGGTGTTTAGATCACTTCAAGCTGGCTAGAATGCACTATTAGTTGATTGAGTGATATACTACTACTCATCTCAATCAATCAGTAGTATATAGGAATAAAACTTATTTAAAGAGAACTATGGAATAAGAAAGAACATCTCTGAATAAATTAGTTCGATGAAATTTTTAAATATTTGTAAATGACAGAAAGCAAGTACATCTTTGTCGATGAATTCATTCTTAAGTCTCTAAATGGTGATTTTATCGACTACTCAAAGCAATTAACCAGTCGACTTACACCGTTTAAACCAAGTTATTGATTTCACTGTCTACCTGTTTTTAGTATATTTACAAACCTTAGCTGAAATCATCTATCCTCCGAGGCAATAACTTCGTATTCGGAACAATAACCTAACCCATTTTATTTTTTCTCAATAATCGCAGTATTATAGGACGAAAGCATGTACTGTAGTAAATTCTTTTTGCAAACCTTGTCATATTGGTAGACTTTCTGTACTCAATTTTCTGAAGATTACAATACCTGTATTGTATGACTTTAATATTTTAACTAAGATGAAAGTGTCTATACATACAATATTTATTTTTCCCTCTCAGATATACACTAGTGATGATGCAGCTAACTCTTCTTCAACTCAACTACCAGCAAGTCTTGTTTGCCAACATATGTTTAGTCGAGCACCTGAAGAAATTCGTTTTCCTCATGTTACTGCTGGTTGGTCTGTAAATTACTATATATCTTGGCTATTGAAGAGAAAAACTGATATGGAACGTTTAGCTCTACTGCATAACAATCTATCAGCCTATGTACATGAGGTAAGTTTGATAAGTTCTAGTAGTCTGTTTGTCAAAAAGATACCAGACTACTGGTAATGAAAGCTTTAAAATACTCCATGTTGATGTTCTCATAACATGTGGATTTTCATGGTTAAATAGTGTTCTTATGCTCTTTTTTTATTCTATTACGTTCCCAGTGGAAAACAGGACTTCAAGTTAGACCTTAGAAGTTTCGGTAGCAGTGGTATTTTTTTTTACGGAATGGGGGTTGCTAGCCCCATGCTCGACGTTCCCTTTGTACCAGTCCTATTACTAGCTTAGCGAGGTAAAGGAGTGAGTCGGCCGGGGATCGAACCCCGAACCACTTGTGTGGTTGGCGAGCATTCTACCTCTGTGCCACCGACGCACTTTCTTTTCCTCTAAAAATGCTCAATACTAAATGACTTGAATTTTATAAATAAAAATAATATTCCCCGCTATTAGATGGTTGGAAACCTTGGACACCTATGTTTTGTGCTTATTGGCGCTTGTCAATCTTGAAGAAGCTCATGTTCCCTCTGAGATTCGGACAAGTACCAACAAGTACGAAACCTAGATCAAAGGCTCCTTGCCGATTGCCTCCAACCATCTAATAAAAACAATTCAGAGTGCACTGTGATAGTGAGCCACCTAGCATGGTGGCCACATTGCAAACTTGACTGATAGAATGAAGTCTGCACCAAACAAAGAACTAGACGCGTAACACCTAGTGTCCCCACTTTTTACAAGTTGGCTGTTGATAAACCCATTTAGATATTATAAAATAATAATTAATTATCGTTGACGCCAGAATTTGAATGTTCTAACTGAGGTATATCATGTTAAATGTTATGTAGTAGAAAAAACAAGTCCCCCCTAACTTAGTGAATAACTGTAAAAGATGAAATTGGTTTTTCATACTTGACTATAAGTATGCTAAACAAATACATCCTTTATACGTATGAAAAAAATTTTTATTTGCAATTTCTAACTTGAGTAACTTAAAACTACCCATTAAGTCATAGAAAAAGAAGAGGCGGTCGGCGAAAGATTACTCATTTCGGCAATATCATTTGCAGGCTGTACTATATATATATATATATATATATATATATATATATATACAGCAACAAAAGGAATTTTTCCAAAGTTGTGTCATTAAAATTTAAATTTTAGGTAACAGTTACGTAACTCAGTATGCATTGATCGGGTAGACGTTTAAACAAAGTGAGAAAATTGAGTTTCATTGATATAAGACTGGAACTTGGGCACTTTGGTAGAGCATAATTCCTTCAGAGAAGAAGTTTGTTTGATGAAAGCACAAAGTGATGTCATTATATACTGGTGACATTTCGAGCACAATTTGTTGCTCATATATAAACGAAGTTGGAAAGTTATGTGATTCCCTTGATATGATTGTGGGGAGCAATGAATTATGCCCTAAACGTTGTCAGTAAATAATTCGGTATCACTATGTGCTTTTATCAAGTGAATTTACTTCAGGATAATTAACTGAATGATGTAACAAGATTGAGAAGAGGTGAACCAAAATTAAAAGTGTCACTGTCATAAGGAGTGATTCAATTTACTTTCTGGATTACACAACAGCTACCCAAAACTTACAATCTTAATGACATATATTGGAAACATTTCTTTTGTTACCATGAGAATGTATTATATATATATATATATATATATATATATATATATATATGCGATTGTATAGCTAGAGAATGATATCACGGAAAGGAGTAACTCTTTGCTGAGTACCTCTTCTTTTTATATATTTTAACTTCTACTGCCGAAGTATATAACTACTGCATCGTGTTATGATGGAGTGTAAAGGTTGTCTAACTTAACTAGAATTCGCTTCCAGACACGGTGCAACAACCAACTGGTCACTTGAAAATATCCCCCACACTGAGGCACACAAAAGTCAGTCAACTGCGGTAACAACAACAACGTTTATTAAACAAAAATTACATGGTATATCACTTTCAAAAAACCTCAGAAATTTAAGCCATAAGTAAACGAATCAGAAGTGTCCAATCAGTATATGTGTAAAACTTGGGCACTGTGCTAGTAAGTAATTCCATATTAGTTTGTTTATTAGATGTTTTACACAGTGAAACAGTATTATTTACTATATGATGTTTCGAACAAAATTTATTGTTCATAATCGTATCAATTGTAATCACACGATTTTGAAACTTGAGTTTTATAGTGACCTTTGTCTTCTCCTATTTGTCGTCTTTCGGGTAGTTGAATTTTCTAGATGTCCAAGTGGACAGGTACTGAGTCCTTTCTACTAAACGTGTTTGCAGTTGATTCGATAGACAAAGCTTCTGTTATTAATCTCTCCCTCCACCCTGTGACAGGAAGATGACAGTTTTAAAATCTAATGTCACAGGGTGGAGGAAGAGATTGATAAAAGAAGCTTTGTTTATCGAATCAACTGCAAACACGTTTAGTAAAAAGGACCCAGTACCTGTCCACTTGGACATCTAGAAAATTCAACTACCCGAAAGACGACAAATAGGAGAAGACAAAGGTCACTATAAAACTCAAGTTTCAAAATCGTGTGATTACAATTGATACGATTATGAACAATAAATTTTGTTCGAAACATTGTCATCCAGTATATAATACTGTTTCATTGTGTGATACATCTAATAAACAAACCAATATGGAATTATTGTCCAATCAAGTTATCATATTAGAACATGCATCAATCATGACTGATAAAGAAGCTTGTTGGTCCTAACAGTTCAGAACTTCAGTTGGTTGTTTTTTTAAAAGGTATCATTGTACAAAAGCATTTTTGTATGAGACTATGCATCGACAGGAAGGGAAATTTTTACATTATGTGGAACTGTTTGTTGTTTATAGGAGAATTTATATTAATGGCATAAGCATTTGATATGTCTTATTCATTTGTTATCGAGGTTGATGATACATAATCTGTCATTTTTCATTATTGCTTTGTTTTGTAGGTTCAACTGAGACAGCAACGAGAATACCCACCGATTTATTTGCTACTGAAGAAATTTTTAGACTTTTATATTGAAAAAGAACAAAAGTAAAGCACGTAATAATTAATCAGGCCTGTGTATTTTCGGAAAAAAAATCAACTTGTTTTTTCTCTGTCCTCACCTTATTATTATGGCTGTGATATTCTGTTTACGTTTAATAAATATTTTGACTTCTTTAACACGTCTTCTGACAGTTGCAGTCTTGTTGTGATGGTTGGGGCTTGTTTATCGTATGTTGGTTAAAAGAGATTCTCCCGACTGACGGTATAGGGCATGTTGCTAAGTCACTTAAAAGACATAGGAGTGTGAGTGAACTAGTTAGTATTGGGACATATTCCTATGTATTTGAACAGCCTAGTAACATGTAGTTTACCACCAGCCGGTTCTATCACGTCAGAAACGTCGATTAGTTAACCGAAAAACTAAAAGTAGTCATCATCGTAATGTAAGTGCTTTGCAGTATAGTAAGGGTATCAGAGCAAAGTTGTACTGCCGATGTGAAGACAATGATGTTCCTCCTTAATGAACAGATCAGTTATACTGTTTTCCTCTAGGTTACCAACTTATAGTAGTTCTTAAGGTTATGCAATCAATAGATAGTCATTATTTCACTTAGGTAAAACATGAAGACATCAGGTTCTTTCTACAGTTGGTGAAACACGGAGCTGTCAACCGAACATATACTTCAGTTTATGCTCGAATAGTGTCTTGACTCTCACTCTCTAATCTACAGTAAGTTGATCATACCTTTAACTCCCTATTTTTCAAAGAGTGTTAGCGATCCCAATTAATGAAGTAGCATACCTAGTCTCTTGAATTTGCCCTTTAGTCCAACTATCAGATTTTCTAGTGCCTGAGGTTCACTTTTTAACAGATCCGGATAGTCTAATCTAGTCACTCCGCAGACTGCAAATGTAAAGGAGAATCAGACGATTAAAGTACAATCATCTTATTTTCGCTTGGTCAAGATAGTGAGACATCATACTTCACTCTTCTATTTACAAGGAGTGAGAACATCAAGTTCTGACAGTCTTGCAAATGTAGATAGAGAATGACCGAATCTTTGTTGTCAGTCTATCGTTAGCTGTTCGGTTATCTATATGATTGAAACCATGAGTGCTGGTTATATGCACCTATAAGATTTTGTAACCTTTGTCTTTACAACTTCTGACGACAAAAATGCATCACAGAACATCCAAATCTTGTGGAAGTTAAGAAAGCTGTCTAAACGGGTTCCGGGTCTAATGATCCATTTCCATAAATATGCGAGAACAACCAAGACATTGTCTGAGGTATAGTAGTCAGAAATGATCCTTTGCGACCGTTTTCAAACATGAATTACTATGAAAGAATCAGTGTGACCAATTTCAATATATATTTATGTGTGTGTGTATGGTGATCTCTGTTTGCTCGCTTAGTCTGTGACCATTTCACTTGTATGAACCTGTCTCCTTTAACAATGTATATTCCCCTTATATTATATATAATATGAGTGTTTGTTGACAGTCCGTTGCTTGGTGACATATATCCATATATGGTGGTTGTTGACATGTCTGCTATATTTCGCTATGTATATATGGATCGATACTTCATTATAATTAGCCATTCATGTTAAGACTGTCTAATGATTGTTCACACCCTTGTCATATATATTTCGCTCTCACAATTTGTGTGACTTACTTACACTTACTTTGGTGTGATACCACTTTTGCATTCTCCTTGTGTTGGAAATAGAAGTATCATCGTAAACCTAGTGGTCTTCTGATTTCCGCCTTCTTGCATCAGGACTATTAAATTCTCGACCAGTACATAACAGACCAATAGAGTACTTAAAATTCCAGTGCCCTTAATCATACACCTAGTTTTAGCCGAAGTAGATAAAAAACCGACTAAACTAGGCTGTTTTCAGACCCAACCGTGAATGTGTTCGCCAGTGCTTTAGTCTCGATTATATTCTGAAATAAAAGCATCTAAAATTTTCTGTATTTGTTGGTCTGAAGACTACTGTCGATCAAAGGTCAACTGCATTTCATTAAGATAGGTGCAACTGTCAAGGTATCTGTGAAGCATGGCAACTTTCTGTCTTATCTTTCAAAGTCCCTCAAACAACTTAGATTTTAATGTTGACATAAGCCTGTTGGGCGAAGACAAAGTCTTCTGAACAATCTTTTTTATCAACTTGACTGTTTGGAATGCGTTTCTTACATTTGTCTAGATCCTGAAGGCTTGTTTGGCTCTTGCCACGACACAAATTGAATTTTCTCTATAAAAACGTAGCTATGACGGACTGTGATACAGAAACAGTAAGCTGCACTATGGATTATGCAGTACTATCAGCCTCTGACTATAAAAAATGACCAAAAAAAGTTCGTATTTTGTCAGTAGAACAAATTTTGTGGAGAAAGTGATGTCCGTCAATACAATGTGGTAGTTTACGAGTCTCTTGCGCTAACTAACCTTCCTACCTAGTAGATTTGTAAGCCTACTGTCCTATTCACTACTCAACGATAACCACTACGATAAAATAGCACTGAAACTTTAATCAAGAAAGCAGACAGACTGTTGACAAGCGAGTTTTTACTGCCTGGAATCAGCAATGAAAAGACTTGACAGTGATTCCACATATAAAGCTTCTAAATGACCTTGAGAGAAACTAGTTCCGTTGACTATTTTAGGCAGTTAACAACCAATAGGGTTCAGCTGTAGTAACGGGGGGAGACAAACATCGCAGAACTGTAAATAGAGGTAGTAGTTTGAGGCTATGAGAAATTTTGGTGTATGCAACAAGAAATCAGATATAACGCGCAAATCTAGTTTCTAACAGTATCTATGATGTTTCACTTATCATGATTTGAAAATCTCGAATAAGCGAGATTCAACTGAGAGTGGAACATAGAAGAAACATGCATAGAAAGTAAAGGTTAGCCGTAAGGCAAAATGGATTGTAAGCATACCAAATCAGATGCAGTTCTATGGAAATGACTGGTTACGGTGCATAGAACACCACCGTTCGCTGGGGAATGCAGGTGCATTCAGATGACAAGTCCCAGATAGGACGAAGTGCGCATTCTGGATTCCACTGCTAGTCACCATCCACCAGTTGACTACACATCATACTACTTAATATTATTAAGTAGAATAAATCTGAACACAGAAAAGCGATTTGAGATTCATAGAGGTTAGGAAAGGAATTAATAATCATTTTCATTAAAGTTTCTTAATTTCTTCTGTTACCAAGGTCACATGTAGATGACGAATAATGAATAGCAACTGAGTCAGTAGGCAACTCATTAGATTAAAGTGCTGCCTATTCAGTTAGAATTTAATGCTACAATTCAGACGCATTGGTTCCCACAAAATATTCAATAACTGCATTTACAAGAGGAATTGTGATATTTTTCAATAATATCACTACTCTGAATCTACTACAGTAGAAATTATTTTACGTGTTATGCAACTATTTTCTAATCCTGTGTAATTTTCTTTCTAAGTCCCTTTTTAATCTTTATATTCACATCATCAAACTTTCGTATCAAGTTGAAAACTATTATCACCTTTAATCGCTTTCGTCATTATGTGGGATTACATAATAATTGTAAGTATGTAAACTTATGTATATAAATGCGATTTGTACAGCTTTTAAGGATGAAATCGCCGATAAAATGTCTTTGCTAAGCTTCTTGTTGTTTTTTCTCTCATTATAATGGAGTTTTTTTTGGCCAAAAAATTCATTGTTCACACACAATATTCAAATACATATAAGGGCGCCTGAAAATGATCACTGACTTACAACCCAGTGATACAATAACTCGGATTGTTATCCTTATGATATGAAACTGTAAACTAAGATTTAAAATGCCCTACTTTTGCAGCCAGTGACCCCAAATATTGATTCATATTTTAGCCTTTACTTATAGGGCGTCACATTATTAACTCTTCTAGAAAAAAGTAACCATTACTAGTTCAGCTAAAGTATGTTCTTAAATAAGATTGGTCAATTCGTCATGTTTAGTTGAGGGAGTACTTTAAACAATTATCACAGAAATAGTCTAAAAAGGGAAGGAGGGCAAAGTTAAACTTTAGACACCACTAACAACCAATCAGCAAACGACCTTGAACGGACCGGTCACATTAAAGAGGCATATATGATGGATGGAAATGTATATTTGTAAAAAAAAGCATAAAACAGAGAATAAAAAAGTTACATGGGATACCTTTCTCGAACATGTGAGAGAAACATCTCCCAGTTTAGCATGGGACTGCCAATGGAGAAGTTACACCATATCCTGTACATATATTCATCCAAATGACCATAAATGAGATCCTTTTGAGATCCATTTATAGCCCTTATCCTATTTTTCAACCTGCCCCAAAATCCTTCAATAGAATTTGTATGTGTCCTCGTAACGGGATCCACAAAATCACTTGAATGGTTGACTCTATGATGAATATATCCCAGAGATGACAGTGAATTGTAGCCTTTCCACTCGTCGGTGTGTATAATTGACCCCCGCTTAACAAGTCTGGTATTAATAGGTATAAGAGTAGTTGCTTTTCTATCTGCTATCCTTAGGGAGAGAAGCGACCTAGCGAAAAAATTTCCTACGAAATATTAAAATTATCAGCTTACTCTCTCTAGCGTTAGTAGGCTTCAAACATATAGCACAACGATGAACAAACCCATCAGTTGATTTGGTATAGCTTTTTAAAGTCGTGATACCACCACACAAACAAATTCGCTATTTCCGGCGCAACTCAAATCCAGGAAATACTGGAAAACGCTAACCTCCTCGAATTGCAACAATAGCTTTGTAAGGTCACGCATTAGAAAGGAATCAAGCGCTATACAACATTGAACTGCGTTCTTGAACCTCATTGGATAGTTCGACATCGTTCGTGAATCTCATTGGATAATTCGCTGATTGGTAGTTAGTGGTGTCGATAGTTTAACTTCGCCGGAAGGGGGTGGCATACAAGACTGGTACATCATCCTCTCCCTTCATCTAATTTTCCGCGGGGATATAGTTGTTACTCACAAACATTTACTCCACTTTGAGATAACTGGTGCCACAGTTTCCCAAATCAATCACTGGTCGTATGCAAACACGATGCTTCATTCTTGTTTTTAATGAAAGTAGGATTAAAATTCTAACTTCAACTGAAAAAATATTGTTATCTT